CCACTTTTATTATGCTTTTCTTCTTGCTAGCATGTGATTCTATTTCTTTTCTAGTGCTTCTTTCATCTTCTCCTTCTCCCCTATATATTAATTTAATTAGACTTTTCTAGAAATTAATTATCCTTTTACTCTTCACACATTTATACCGTGTTTGGATAAGAAGTAATAAAAAAATTAATATTTCTTGCATAACATAAAGTGGTGACGTGAGTTAATGGCCCTATTTACCGGAAATAACTTCTTCTTTTTTATAGAAACATAAGAGATAATTTTATTTCCAATATACATATAAAATATTAAATCCATAAAAAATTGTAAAATTATAAACCAATTGAAAAACTAAAATAAATTATAGAATAAAATATATGCAAATCTTAGAAAAAAAAATGTAGTTATCTTTCATTTTTCCTTTTTTTTTGAATTTCTTTCCATTTTCTCCTTTAAAATCAGGGAAAAGTTCAAAAGCCCCATATATTTTTCCTTTGAATCACTTATCTTATTCTTTCTCTTTTTAATCTCTTATCCCCCATGGTTTGTTCCATCAAAACTCATTCTTAACACTATTATAAACTTTAATAATCTATTTACCCTTCTTGAAAAAAGAAATAGATCATGATAAAAAAACAAAAATGTAGAAGAAAAATAAGACCCGAATATGTTGGAAACGTACAACATTTTATAGAAAAAATTGAAAGTAAAAAAAAAAAATAGAAGAGAAAAAAGACCAAATACTTCTAAATTAAGAAGAAGAAATAGGCTGGGGACAAAAAAAAACATAAAATCCAATTGTAGCTACAAAGTATGTTTTGATGATTACAAAAAGGCAACAACAAAAAAAGAATAACATTGATCAAGAGTAAAAAGTATCAACCATGTGTGAAGATTGAAGATACATGATTGAGCCACACAAGAAGAGTAATAAGATATTAAAAGTGGCAAGAACGTGGATGAGCTATGAAGAAAACTAGCAATGGATCAAGAGCAACAAGGAAGAATAATAGGAGCAAAACCAGTATCAAAGGCAACAAACCATGGATAACCTTGAAGAAAAGCTTAATCTCACAAGCCATGGTAAAAGATAATCTAATCCAACAAAGAGTCAAAGTACTGCAAAACCAACAAATCAAACATCAAATTCAAGTGAAGATTAAGATCAAAGAATCAACACAAGAAGCTAAGTCCTTGTTCCTATTATATTATACTTTTAGGATTTAGATTCAATTTTAATGGTATATATTGAATTACATTATATGAGCTCAATATTGCTTAATCTCTCAAAATTAAATGACTCTTATACAAATCATCTTGGCATGCTTTTCATTCAAAGGAAAATAAGTTACATATGTTAAATGTGATAGTCTTTTTTACAAGAGCAAACAATGTGCATGAAACGATTTTTTGAATCAAATCAGTTTCTATTTGTGAAATTAATGCATAAGAGTCAATTAGGATTGGAAAAATAATTCTAACATGATTTTACCATATTTTGAACATGTTTTAACCTTATAAACATCTTTTCAAGAGTTAATTATAGATTTTTATAATGTTAGGAACCATTTGAAAGTGAAACGAAGTGTAAAAAATATATTTTTAACCATTTTTCACTTGCTATCAAGGGAGGATTCGAATTCCTTATTCCTAGAATCAAGGATTTGAATCCCTCACGAAAAGGATTTGAATACTTACTAACCAGTAAGCTTATAACAACTATAAACAAATTTTGGCTAAAATCACCATAATACATTCCTTATGGCTCTAAACAAGTTTGATCATCATTGTTAGACATCTTAAGGATAATTTGAGAGCTTTTAGACTATCATTTACATATTCTTTCATATCTTTCAAATATTACACATATTTGAGCTCATATTTTGAAAATTCATATATCATAGTACTTCAACTTGTATTATCCACACTTTGAGTGTAAATCCTTATTCAAATCATTCCTTATTATATTCTTGAGTTAAAGGGTAGTGAGACCCTAAGAGATTGAGAGGTAGCCCATTGCCTACAAATTTGGAAAAGGTTGTAAGGTCTGCAAGTACCCTTAAACTTGAAGGTTGTTGTAAGGTCACACATGACCTATAAAACTTGTAGGTTGTAGCGGTTTGTCAAGTACCAATGAAGCTTAATGGATAGTGGATTTTTTTTGTTAAGAGCATCAGGCGTTCAACGCGTACAATTAGTGCTCTAAGCTAGGTGGTGGACTATGGGATGTGAGAATAGAGCTGACATGTAATTAGTCATGTGTATGTAGTTGCTAATGTGTAATTAGTCATGTGTATATAGTTGTTGAGGTGTGTTAGTTGTTGTAGTGTAGTCTGGACATGTGTGTGTGAATTATATTTTGGTTAATAGGTGTAACCGAAAAGACAATTCTAGAGCAATAGTTTTGCTTTGTATATAATACCGAATGTAACTAATTTTGGTTATCGAATAATAAAATTTCTCCTTGTTCTTTGTTTCTTTTAGAGCCCAACTTTAACATCGGTGCTTCCACATTCTTCTCCAAGATTTGCCACCATGAAAGTGCAAGATCTTGCAGAAGAGTTTGGTGCTTTCCAACTCTATATCAAGCAACGCTTAGATGAGAGTCAAGCTTAAATTGCCACTTTCAACAATCAACTGCAACAAATTCATGCAGCTTTGTTGGGGTTGGAGAGTCAGGCTCGTGAATCTGGAACACAGAGAGGTCAGCACTATCAAACGAAGTTTGAAAATTTGCACAACAATCACATTCGTATTGATAATCGTGTTGATTCCAATTATCCTCATTTTTTGTTCTAGTTCATACGCTTGGAGATACCAGCCTTCGATGGAAATGACCCAAATGGGTGGATTTTCAAATCAGAGATGTTCTTTGGATTACAATAAATTCCAGACGAGTATAAGGTGCATTTAGCGGGATTAAAGATGGAGGAAATTATTGCACCATGGTATTAGTGGATTTACAGTGGTGGTACTACTTGCTATTGGGATGATTTGAAGATCGCAGTTCGTCAGCGTTTTGGTGCTGAGGGATATGATCTAAAAGGTATGTTATCAAAACTTGAAACTGGATCGTTGAATGAGCTTATATTTTATCGAAACTTTGCTATAAAGTGTTGTATGTTTTCAACATATTTGATCTTATATTTTCTTCTATTTTTTATTTTATGTTATTGGTTTATTTTCTTCTTCTAAGAAGAGTAAGTAAATTAATTAAGCTTATAACTGTGTGTTAAGGATGGGTTTGAATGGAACAAACCAAAAGGGGTAAGTGATTAAAAATAAATAAAATAAAAGAGTAAATGATTCAAAGCAAAAGTATAAGGGGATTTTGAAATTTTCCCAAACTTTAAAAGAGAAAAAGAAAAAGAAATAATTTGGGAGAGCTGCCCCCGAAAGGGTCCGACAGTGCTCGATGAGGATTAATATTCGATTACAGCCGGAAGATACCCTTGAGATTACTTAAAAAAAAAAAAAAAAAAAAAAAAAACTCCAAAAGAAGGAGAAATAAAAGATAATTGCATGTTTTTTTTTCTTCTTTTAAGATTTGTATATATTTTATGGGTTTTATAATTCTCATGTTATATGATAAGAGAATTCTTATGTCATAGAGACAAAAAGTCATAATAGACCCATATATTAGAAAAAGCCGTATGTGAGACCCATATTAGTACAAAAATCAAAAGGTCTGTAGAAAAATTTTCTTTCACGTGTTACATGAAAATTATAAAACTCATATTTTATTCTATAATTTATTTCGGTTTTTCAAATGATTTATAATTTTACAATTTTTATATATTTATTCTATATATATATTAGAGATAAAATTTTCTCTTATAAGTTTATAAAAAAAAGGAAGCTATTTCTTGTAAATAGGCCCATCAACTCCCGTCATCACTTTATCTTATACAAGAAATATTAAATTCTTTTTTTATTACTTCTTATCCAAACACAGTATAAATATGTGGAGGATAAGGAAGGAGAATAAATTTCTATAAAAGTCTAATTAAATTAAGGGTTTAATTTTTTTTATTATAGGATATAAACTTATTTCTTATGCATACATAAAATATATGAGATTTATATTTTTTTCTCTCTTTTTCTTAATATGTCAATTCAATAAAGACAATATAAGAAATAATAAATCTTTAAATTAATTTATAAAAGAAAAAGAGAAAAAAAAAGCACTAAAAGAAAAGAGAATCACATGCTAACGAGAAGAGCATAACGAAAGAGAATAGATTGAGCAAGGATTCATAACTTCTACCGATCAAGGATTCATAACTTCTATTCAAGGAGTTATCCTCCTGCAAACGATTTGACCCCTCTACCCTTCCCATAACATTTACACATTTAGATGCTATTACTGTTATCAAAAAAAAAAAAAAAAAGAATTAGCTGCTAGAGGTATTTATCCCACAATACATCCTTTAGATTCAACTTCGGCTATGCTCCAACCTCTTATATTTGGTGAAGAACACTACAAAACTGCAGAAAAGGTTAAATAAACTTCACAAAGTTACAAGAAACTTAATTCAAATTTCAAATGAGTTAAATTAGCTTTTATTTCATTTAAACCAGTGTTTTAAAACTCGGATCGGTCATCGACTCGGTCGAAGTACTGGGTCACCGGGTTCATTGTTCTCATATTAAAAAAATATAAATTTATTACTTAGATTAAACATTCATAAAAGAAAACTATCAATAATGGGCTTATCTTAAAAATTCATAAAATATAATTTTTTTTACTAATATAGTATACAATTTCATAACTAAAAAAAAATGGTTGTGATTCTTATACGATTAAGAAAATCAAATTCTACATGATATTAATTGGAACAGAGAATGTTTGGTTTTATCTCCACTAACTCTCGATTTTCCATGGCAAAAGCAAACTAGAGTTCAATGCTACACTCTAATTACTAGATCTGCAAGAAATCAGACACCATATAAATTAATAACCGTATACTCTAATCACCAAGATCTAAAAAATAACCCCAAAATCATCCTCTTAACGAATAACAAAAACTGAAAATGCATACAGTGACAGATACAGCATCATTATCAATAAAATTCAGCCACATAAGAATCGGATTCTTCTAGTTTTAGACGGTAACAGAAATTAAGAGTTAGAAAGTTGCAGGAAGTAAGTTTAAGCCGTGAGCTGTATTATCGTATCACACACATGGCTTTCAAAGATCTGTATCATGATTCCCTTGTTCCTATATTGCCTGCTTTTGGAAAATGAAGAGGCACTGCCAAGAAGTCAAGAACTATCTGAAGTCCGTCCGAACGGCGAAGAGAAATGTCAATCTCAGCTGATACAGGTTCAATTTCGGAGAAGAACTATCCAAACGGCGAAGGAAATCAAGGAATCAGATGAGATATGGTACGGGTCTCCTTTAGGTCGAAACTTGAAACACAAAAAACGACCTCGTTTTTGTAATATAACTCATTTAAAAAAAAAAAACATGTAACCGGTCCAAACCGGATCTCCTTCAACTTGCCGGGTCACTGAGACCCGGCCGAGTCGACCGGTCTAAACCGGATTGATTGCACAACCAGTCCAAAGAGTGACTCGAACCGGAGAACCCATTGGTTCATCGAGACCCGGATAGACTCGACAGGTCTGATCCGATTTTTAAAACATTGATTTAAACTATTAAAATTTAATTTGGGTCCGACTGTCGTTAACTTGTTCATTAATAGACTAGTTATTTATTTTTCTCTTTATTTTTTTGGACTTGTCTATATTTTATTTTCTATTATCCCTTATTCAAACAAAGTATAAATAAATGTACGAATGAGAATGAAAGTGAAATAATAATTATAAAAATTTGATTAGATGGGACCGACAATTTTAAAAGAGTAAAAGAAAAGAAACTCCAAATGCAAAGAAAGATATATGAAAAATAATTATGTTATTTTTTATTTATTTATTTTCTTAAATTTGCATATATTTTATTTATAATACTTTTAATTTTTCAATTAATTTATAATTTTTTTTATGGATTTAATGTTTTTACATTAGATATAGATAAATTATTTACGTTTCATTCCAAAACGACGTTGTTTCGTGTTGAAAAATTAAAAAATTATAATGAGATATACTATAGTCTGCAAATAAATTACAATTACAAAAATACATTAATTTCTGCCAAAATAATATCATTTTAAAGTTAATATAAATAACTTATCGACGTTAACTATAGAAAACGTGAGACCCTTTTTTATATATTTAACATTTCTCGTATGCAAAACGAAAATAATGAATATCTCTTTGTCGATAAACTTATCTATTGCCAGTATAACCAATGAATCATTTATTTTTCTTTCTTTTCTCTTCACGTGATTCTATTTACGTACGGGATAACTTTATCTTCAAAAAACATATATTAAATCCTTTTTTATTACCTCGAAATTCGTGAAGAGATAAAGGAAGGGAATTAATTTATAGAAAAATCTAATTAAGTTAATACTTAGGAGATAAGGAGAAAAAGGACAGAAGAAGCTTAAAATGCAGAGAAGGAAAAAAGGAAAGACAATCACAATTTCCCCCACTAAATTTTGTGAGAAGGAAGAAAAGATGAAGGCTTCGGTTGAAGTTGAACAAGAAGGGGCTTCGAGGATTCCAGCACAAGAAAACAGCAACAGCAGCAAGAAGAAGAGCAGCATAGTGAAGCAGGACAGATTGAGCCACTTGCCAGATGAAGTGATCCATCGCATACTTTCCTCTCTGGACGCAAAAATAGCAGTTCAAACAAGTGTTCTAAGCATGCGATGGAGGTACCTTTGGACTTCCCTCCAAGTCCTCAATTTCCACGACATGTCCTTCGATGATCCTGTCCTTTTCCAGTGTTTCGTGGAGCACGTGTTGTCCCGCAGAGACTCTTCCACCAATCTCAACATGCTTCAACTTGTGTGCCACGATGAACTAGATGATGGGTACATCGTAGATTCCATCATTGACTATGTTATACTAACGGGGATTCAGGTTCTGAGCATCCTTGCTGAATGTGTTGTAGGGAAGTTACCTCAGCTCTATGCTTGTCACTCCCTCACCACCCTCAAGCTGGCAGACATAGCAACTGAGACCACAACGTTTGATTTTGTTTCTTTGAAACATTTGTATCTTTCTGATTGCCGGTTCGAGTGCGGGGTTGAAGAGCTTCTTGATCCTTTCGGTGGTTGTACCAATTTGAGATGTCTGTTTCTACATGGTTGTCAATACTATGGCAAAATTGAGAGTTTTAAAATATATGCTCCTCAACTCACTGACTTGAGCATATCGCGTATGAGAGTGGATCAAGTGTTTGATTCAGACTGTGTGATTGAGCTTTTTACGCCAAGGCTCCAATCTTTTAGCTATCGTGACTTTAGGTATCTTTATGATTTTTCCATTAAGGTGAACCTTCCCTTTGTGGAGAAAGTGGATATTGATCTAGGCAGTTTTGATCTCTCTGATGAATTGAACGAGGCCACTAATTTGTCTCTTCAGCTAATTGAATTGTTTGAAGTGATGGGGAGTGTAAAGTTTCTATCCTTATCAAGGGGTATCATTCAAGTAATTTTTTTTTCTCTGTTAAATGCGGTATTTCAATTAATAGTTGCTAGCTTATTGTTCATTGAACTAAATTCTTGTCTGTCTTTGATGTTTCCTAGGTTCTGTCTATGTTTCCTGCTTTATTGGATGGTCTGTCTTCTCCTTTCACAAGAGTGCGGACTTTTGAGTTAAAAATGGATAGACCTTCCCCTGTTTCCATATCTACCAATGTCGTGGCCTACTTATTTGGTGGATCTCCTGAGTTTCATTGCTATTGATGGGAAGGTATGAAAAGGGTATACAATAAGGATTTGGATCCTCTCCTCGTTCTTAAATAAAAGTATAGGGTCTTGTTGAGAAGAGAAAGACACAATTTTTATCATGCAAGGACCAATATAGTATTCACCAGTTGCTATGTGCAACATTCAGAGGAAGGTCTATATCGCTATCCTTATCTTGCATTTGCAGGAGATTAATTATATGAATTAAATTTGAGACCTTTCGGTCAACATAGTGGCAATACCAACGGCTGTGCTACGATTTCCCTTTGGGTCTATAGTGTTCACCAATTATATTAAAAAAAAAAAGCTACATGTTTTTCTCTCTATTTCAAGACTGTATCCTGTTATTGGAAATTAGGAGAGGATACGAGTCCATATAATACACCTTATATAGCTTTTTTCTCTGCACTTATAATGAATTCAGAACACTGGCGTAGCTTTATGGAAATGCATATGTTTCTTTCTGAGGTCTAAATTACTTGAAAAGCAAAAACTCGGAAGCACGTGGTGTTGAGAAAGCTCGACGAACAATATGATTTATCCAACCAAGGTCTCATTTATAAGGCTTTGATTTAAGGGATATGGTATTATGTCAATTTTTTTTTCATGTCTATTCTATCTACTCATTTCTAACATCAATGGATCAAAATATCAAGAGAAAAAAGAGAAAGTAAAAATTGGTTGAGTTTTGGATCTAACGATGATTGAGATGAATAGATAAGGTAAGTATGAAGAGTAGTTAGATAGAATATCCTATCCTTTTATTTAATCCATTTGATAAAATATTCGACAAAGTTTATGTTGATTGTCAATTTTCTAATGCATCTCTTGGGACCAGTGATGTAAAGTTTTTTTAGATTAATGGTTTGGTTATATAAGGAGAAGCTCTAATGAGAAAAATCAATCAAACAGAAGAATTATTGTCTGATTAACAGGATAGAGGAAGACTGATAAAAATTCATGAGAAATCATAAAAAGACCTTGCTCGAAATGGTTTTTGTGGAAGCTTGATTTTTGAAAGAAACCAATGGCATTGATTATAATACATGTAGTCAACTCCACCAAGGCATTGTTGTTATTGTTGTATTAAGGTTCTATTTGAAGATATATCAATTTCTTTCCTACTCATTAGGTAGGTTCGATTTGATTTGTTAGGAAATGTGTCACGTGATACATGTTTCTTGGCTAAATAAAACTACACCAACTCCGTTCTCATTGTAAAACTACTACAACTCCTTTTGCTTTGCTCAAATTTCTGCTTCCACAACTGATACTAGGTTGTATATCTAATAACTAATTAGTTAGCAACAACAACAATGATAAAACTTGGACATTTGTTTATGAGTTTTTTAACCAAACCAGAGTTTTTTTTAATATTTATTTAATTTATTTTTTAAAGCATATTATAAATTAATACGATGAATCCCATATGCGGGATTAATGCTAACATGACAGTCCCATATGTTGATTATATGAGATTCTTATAAGTCTCGCACGTTGATTATATAGGACTTAATGCCAACGTGATAGTCTCACGTGACAAATATACGGGACTTTACGGCAAACTTGTGAGACTTACACATTGGCATTAAGTCCGATAGAATTAACGTGCAAGACGTAAAGAGTCACATATAGTCAACGTGGGGACTTGGATGTGGGACTTGAACGATGACATTACGTGCGGGACATGTCTTGCACGAAGAGTCTTGTACGTTTTTCGTGCATAATTGACTGTATTAATTTGAAATATCTTTCAAAAAGTAAATTAAATAGATAATTTTTTTAAGAAAAACAAAGAATTATTTGGAGAAAAAACCTTCTTTCATGTTTTAAAATCTGGATGGTAAATAAAAATTATATATTTAACGTATCTAGCATGCTGTTCATCATAAATCAAGTAAGTTGGTGAAATTCATATCTAAACTTTCAGTTATCCAAGCTGAGGATTGAGAAAAAGGAGAATGTAACTCTGCCATAATTTTTCTGCCTGAATTTTTTTTAAAGTGATTTGGCATGTTTGTTAGACTCTTAAATGGGTGAGTGATTTCCTCTACTTTATTCCATCAAACAACCATATATGAATCAGTTGAATTTTATCATAATTTCAGCTATATAGCATTACTCTTTATATTCGCTATTGTCTAGATCAAAATGCAATATATTGCACTTGCTATTTAATTTTGACCATTGTGGATCATATGCTAGAGTATTGGGCTTCAAAGGGCTTGCATTGAGTACGTTATGATATTATTTATAGCATGACCCATGTGGAAATCAATTACGAGTATAATGTGTTATATTAGGGGTGCATAGGGTGCAAATCATTCTGATTGAAGACAACTTCCAACTAACTTCCACGGTTTTATCTATTAGAAGCGTTTTATATAAAAGAATTTTTTTTTATTCAAAAATTATGATTTTTGGGAATATAGTGAGAATTTGTTTTTTCGAAAATATTGAAATAATTTTTTTGATGTTATATTTAATTGATTGTAAAATATTACTAGGAATGTGTACCGAAATTACAATTTTACCCATGTGTTTGAATATTGAATCATTGTCCGTTGCTTTTTATACCTCAGTTTTGTCACTCTCTCTTCGTGGTGGTTTTTTTTTCTATTTAATCTCTATGTTGATGTCATTAACAAGTTGCAACAGTGGGAGGAAAAAGATTGTTAGTTCTGAAAATGCCAAAAACATAGAAAAACTTGCCGAGGCTGAAGTTCCTTGGTCAATGCACAACTACTTGGTAGTAATATCCATTAATTTGTTGTGGCTTACATGCACAGTGGCAAAGCGAGGCTATAAATTTAGTCCGGGCCAAAAAAATTTATATATCAAATTATTAAAATATTTATCGTAATTACATATATTTATTAGAAAAAAAATTTACAATGAATTCTAGCATAGAGATCTAAATGATTTACTAAATAATCTCACATAACATTAAAAATTCAAATGAACAATTGCCAATGATTATATATCAAAGCAAACATAAAAGCACTAAGCTTTCCGGTAAGAATTTCAAACATAAGAATTGCAACTATTAAATGGATACTCAAGCCACGAAGAAAATTCTTTGAACCAAGAAGCTTGAAAACGTTGAGGATGTTTTTCCTTTGAAAATGGATAAGAGCATTGAGCTTGATATGGTCCAACTATTAAATAAGCTCTCCGTATCTCATCGACTTCATTAGCTGAATATTCCCAAATTGGCTTACGTTTGCCTGGATCACGTTCAAAACTTTCATTTTTGACTGTAATAATGTCATCAGTATGTTCAATTCTACAACACTTGGAAGGAGGTTGCTCATGAGAAAGTGCATTACTTTCATAAATTATATTCGTAGGATCATCACTTGATTCACTTTCAGAAACTAGTTTCTTTTTAAAGAACACATCTATACTTTTCTGTTTATCCTTACCTATACTTTTCAACAGCTACCTGTGTCAGAAAACACATTGAATACAAAAATATAAAATACATTTCACTAACATGACTCAAATTAAATTCTATAAAAAAAAAACTCATTCTTACACATTTTTAATAAAATCCTAGAATAGTGGCCTCAATATCTAATATCTAAACCCTAAACAATAATTAACTCACTAGAAAACATAACAAGTTCATATTAAAAAGTACAAATAAGCTAAACCAAGAGTTTATATAATTCCATCTCCATGTAACTTGGCTGATGAATTGCAAATAAAAATATCTGTCATGTGCCCATTGTCCACTAATAGATGATTTAATTCTCCTAAAACAAAAACAAAAGAGAAAATTTTATTTCATTTAAATTCACAGAATATTCTATTCAAGTGTCTTGGTGGTAGATCTAACTTTAAATCTGAATAAAAAGAACTAAATAGTACTCTTTAAAAAACCCACACCTAAAAAAAAAAATATAGAGTTAGCATCATCGAATCCATTATATATACTTTGTCACTGCTTAGTGGGACCAATATGTTGTTCAAAATAACCACGAGTTGAAGGCAAAAAGAACAAACACTAAAAGAGCAAAGATGATAAAGGTCGGTGAAATAAAATGATAAAATAATAAATGGTCAACTAAGGTTTTTGCTCCCACTTTGAGGAAAGTAGTGCCTTTATCAGCGCTAAATTGGCAGAGAAAGAACAAAAATTGAAAGAGAGGCATTAGCGCTAAATTATCAGCGTTAAAGTGGTGCCTTTCCACTATGAACTTTTTGTTGGGGAAAAAAATTGAAAGAACAAAAATTCCTAAAAACTAGTTGGGTTAAAGGTAGGATCCTTAGCTTAGCTCCATTGACAGAGAAAAAGAGCTAAAAACGGGAAAAAAAAGCCAAATACCTGGTGAGAGAGAGCCTGACCTTAGAATTTAGAACAGGGCAAGAGAGAGGCATCAGCGTAAGATGAAACATAAATTAAGAGAGTCAAAAGAGTGAAAACTTTATTAAATAGTTTTTAATTTTATTAAATACTTTTAATTTTTTTTGGATACAAACTGAAATTGAACACATAACTTGATATAACCTACTCAAATCCTTCATCAAATATATTTTAATTTTAGTCCGGGCCAAATTATAATTTTAATCCAGACTAAATTATAATTAATTATATAATTGTATATAATAATTAAATTTGTTAAAATTTAGCAGAGTCAGGCACCCTCCAGACGTGGCTCCGCCATTGTACCACCATCTGACACAAATTAGAATTAGTAGAGGTGCACCGCATAATGTTCTTCTGTATCATTTTAACCTTTTTTATCCTGACTTCCTATTTCTCTGTGCTTCCTTCCAGATGCTCTGTGTAGGTCTTGGATGATTGAATAGAAGTCATTATTCCAGATGCTTCGTGCCACACCGCGGAGATGGAGGACACAAGAACAAATTCGATTTTTCGGAGCACACGATGTGGTGTTTCCTCCCAAGATTTTTTTCACACACCTGATATGGTATTCCAGGGCATTTTTCATTTTTGTCTTAGCAAGTTGTTAATTGTTTCCAATGGGGTGGGGAAAAAATAATACCATGGGTGAGATGGTATTTTAGTTTGGGAATTTGTAGTTATAAATAAAATGATGGGGAAAAAATAATGCTAAGAATATTTTCACTTCTTCTTGTACCAAACCCAGAAATTTTTTTCCCCACCCCACTTTCCCAGGATTTCAACCAAAATTCTCATACCAAACAGCCCCTAAAGAATTAAGAGATACTTTACCTAGGTCTTAACACAGAAGAACTCTTGTTTTCAGCAAAGGAATAAGGTCTTTCTGATAAATTTATTGGCTACGTGTTATACTTTGTATTTGATGATGACTCTGTGAAGGTTTGGTGGTATTGTTATAGGTCTTTGACTTGTTTTATTTTTCCTTTCTTTGGTAGTTTAGGGCTGGACCTATAAATAGTTGATGTTGTTTAGAATTTTTAAGCTTGATTATATTTCTCTTATAAAATGAGTACTGTAACGAATGCAGTGAAGAAAATATATTGCATATTGTTAGATGTAGCTTATATTGAGTGAACTAAGGTAATTTGCGTCTCCATTTTTCTTCCTTTTTTCTCTTTTTGATTTGCAATTATGTGTATGCTTGTTTGGTCCCAACAATATGTAGCAATGCTAAGGGCAAAGAGAAGTTGTATTATTCTTAAAATGGCATCATATTTGTTCCTGATGGTTATTTTGTAATTTTTTTTGTTTCTTTTGTAGTAAATGGCCTATTGAGGGATCTTATTTGGCTTTCTTATGCTATAAATAGGCTATTTACATATAATCTCAATTTGAATATGGCATAAGATGAGGGGTATATCTTCCTTGTAAACTCGGAACAAATATTGAGTGATCCTAGCTCATTTGAGCCTGGTAGAGAGAAAGGAGAGGAGAGAGAGGAGAAAAAGAGGAAGAAGGAAGAGAGAGAAAAAGATCATGCAATTATTTTCTATAAACTCAACGCTCATGTTGCATTTACATGTCCTACCAATCAATCAACAATTAATGAATTCGGCTCCTTGAAATAACTTAAAATAATAAAAATGCTTATAACATGGAAATACTAGTCTTAGAAAATAAGGGGAAGAAAAAACCACTTCAACTTAGGAGAACAATTTCACTAATGAATATAACAAATATTACAGCCAATAATTACAATATATTTCAAGAACAATCCTATCTCTGGAACCATTCTATGCCTTCTAAGATGTGCTTCCTTGAACTCATTCAAACTTTTCATCTTTCCCATACAGTGGTGGTTTAACATCATTAGTACTCAACATTACAATAGATTAAAATATTCTTAGAAACCAACTAGACCCAAAACAGAGTTAGTCTATGTTTTAAATGAGCTATTAAAATGTTAATCCAGGCCTGATTTCAGCAAGCCCATGCATTAGTGGGCTAGTTATTTATTAAAATGTTAACTTTATGACTCATATGCAAAAGAACACGTGGGTGATTTTAATTATAAATTGTTATTTTATGAATTATTAATGGGTAATATTTTTTCTATGTTGCATAAGAAAAATATTATTTTTTACTCAAACAATAAATAATAAATAGAAGAGAGAAAAAAAATCTTATAAGACCTATTTAAAAAATGTGAGTATAGAAAATAATACTTCTCTTATACAACATAAGAAAAATATCACCTTTATTAATATTAACAATAAATTATAAAGAATTTAAACATAGATAAACAAAGAAAACTTATCTCCCTAGCTTAATCTAAATTTCAAATTAGCAAAATTAACTTAATTTTAATTGAGCTATTAAGATAGAGGAATGATATTGTAACAACCAAGTTGTGTTATTACCAAGTTACTACCAATCAATTTCACCGTCAGATCAATTATGTTGATCCAACGGTTATATTTATTTCCATCTTTGTATGATTATGATTTTTCATATTTAATGATTTCACTTTAAATATGAGGAATCATAATCATTCAAAGATGAAAATAAGTATAATTGTTGGATCAACATAATCGATCTAATGGTGAGATTGATTGGTAGTAACATGATAATAACACAACTTGATTATTACAGTATCCTTCACAATTAAAATATTAATTCGGGCTTGACTTAGCTAGGTTCGGGGACTAGTTATTTATATTTTTTTTCTTTCTTGGATTGTTATTTATCTTATTTTACTTTTTTTTACCTCAGATCCAAACAAAGGTTAAAACAAAAAAGCCCCAAATGCAGAAAAACCCTAGACGCAGCAGAGAAACTCAGAAGGCGGAGTCGCGGAGATAGAGAAAGAGGAAGAGAAGTAGTGGTTTGTTTTTCGGTCTTCTGTGGTAAGAAAGGAAAAGATGAAATCTTCAATTGAAATTGAATACAAGGAGGGTTCGATGGTTGCAACACAAGAAAACAGCAATGCCAAGAAGGAGAAGGAGAAGGAGAAGGAGAAGAAGAGCATAATGAAAGAGGACAGACTCAGCAATTTGCCAGATGAAGTGATCCATCGCATACTTCCCTTTGTGGACGCAAAAACAGCAGTTCAAACAAGTGTTCTGAGCAAACGATGGAGGTACCTTTGGACTTCCCTTCAAATTCTCAATTTCCATGACCAATCCTTCTATAGTCCGCACTTTTTCCAAGGTTTCGTGGACGATGTATTGTCACGCAGAGACGCTTCCATCAATGTCTACATGCTGAAACTTGTGTGCGACAATAAAGTAGATTATGGGTACAGCATAGATTCCATCATTGATTATGTTATACCTAGGGGCATTCAGGTTCTTAGCATCTTTGCTCCACGTTTTATAAAGAAACTACCCCAACTCTATGCTTGTCAATCCCTCACTACCCTCAAGCTGGCAGACATAGCATTTGAGACCAGAACCTTTGATTTTGTTTTCCTGAAAAATTTGTATCTTTTTGATTGCCTGTTCGAGTATGGTGTCGAAGAGGTGATTGATCCTTTCAGGGGTTGTGCTAATTTGAGATGTCTGTTCCTACATGGTTGTCAATTCGATGGCATAATTAAGAGGTTTAAAATCTCTGCTCCTCTGCTCACGGATTTGCTTATATCGTATATGAGAGTGGATCAACTGTTTGGTCCAGACTGTGTGATTGAGCTTTTTACGCCAAAGCTCCAATCTTTTAGCTATCATGACTCGTTTCTTTATGATTTTTCTACTAAGGTGAACCTTCCCTTTGTGGAGAAAGTGATGATTCATGTGGGCGGTTTTGATCTCTCTGATGAATTGAACAAGGCCACTAATTTGTCTCTTCAGCTGATTGAATTGTTTGAAGTGATGGGGAGTGCCAAGTTTGTATCCTTATCACCTGATATCATTAAAGTAAGTACATCTCTTTGTCAAATGCGGTATATCAATTAATAGTTCCTTGGTTACTGTACTTTGAACTAACTTCTTTGTCTGTCTTTGATTTTTCTTAGGTTCTGTCCATGTTTCCTGCTCTACTTGTTGGTCGGTCTTCTCCTTTCACTAAAGTGCAGAATTTTCAGTTGAAAAAATATAGACCTTCCATACCTACGAATGTCATGGCCTTCTTGTTTGGTGGATCTTCTTGATTCGATTGCTCTTGATGGGAAGGTATGGAAAGCATTTGGATCCTCTGCTTGTTCTTGAATAAAACTATTGGATCTTCTTGAGAAGAGAAAGACACATGTTCTATCATCAACCATGATTGGTTATAGTATTCACCAGTTATACTCCTGCCATGTGCAGGGTCTAGGGAAGGGTCTATAATAGGCACCCTTACCTTGTTTATTTTGCAAGACCTTTGGGTCTTATGGTGACAACATCAACCCTTGTGGCAAGGGGCCTTTCTGGGTCTATACTATTTACCAGTTATATTAAAAAAAATATGTCTTTCTCTCTATAATTGGGACCATATCTTGTTATTTAGACTGGGAGGGGATCCAAGTCCATTTAATAAGCCTTACATAGTTTTCTTTTAGCACTTATCATAAATGTAGAACATTGATATGCTGATTAATTGTCATATTGCTTTACGGAAATGCAAATGTTTATTTTTAAGGTCAAAATTACTTGGAAAGAAAGAGCTTGGAACATGTGGTGTTAAAAAAGCTCGATGAACAACAATAATTGATCCAATTAAGGTATCATTTATAAGGGTTTGATTTTATCCATGTCAAATGATTAGACAAAGTTTATGTTGATTGTGGACTGCCTAACATATCTCTTGGGACCAGTGATGTAAAGTATTGGCAAAGATGGTTTGGTCATGTAAGGAGAAGCTCTGGTAGAAAATTCAATCAAATAACAGAATTGATGGTTTGGTCATGAAAGGAGAAGCTCTGGTGAGAAAATTCAATCAAATAAAAGAATTATTGTCCGAGTAAAAGGACAGAGGAAACCAAAAAAAAAAAAAAAAAGGTAGGGGAAGACTGAAAACTTTTATGAGAAATCATTAAAAGATCTTGCTCTAAATGGTTTTATTGTAAAACATGATCTTTGAAAGAATCCAATGGCATTGATTATAATCCATGTAGCCAACTCCATCTCCAGGGATAAGGCATCATTGTTATTGTTGTATTTAGGTTCGATTTGATTTGTTAGGAAGTATGTCACATGATACTTGTTTCATGGCTAAAACTGCGTCACCTCTGTCCTCATTGATATAATTTCTGCTTCCAAAACTGGTACTAGGCCGTATATCTTACTGCTAATTAATTAGCAAGTGCAACAGTGATAAAACTGGGACATCTCTTTGATGTTTTGAAATCTGGATGGTACTGAGCAGTTATCTATTTATCAGCCCTGCTTTCAGTAATCAAAACATAGCATTGACAAAAAAGAAAAAAGAAAGAACAAAAAGATGTAACATGGCCATAATTTTTTTGCCTGATTTTTTAATAGTGATTTGGCATGCTTGTTGACTCTTGAATGGGAGAGTGATTCCTTCTACTTGATTTCATCCAGTAACTATCTTTGAATCTAGTTGAATTTTATCAGAATTTTGGCTATATAGCATTACCCTAAAACTCGCTATTTAATTTTGACCCTTATGGATCATATGCTAGAATATTGCTTCAAAAGGCTTGCAGAGAGCACGTATCGGTATACTTTATAGCCACGTTGAAATCAATTACAAGTCTTATGCTTTCCATTACAGGTGCATAGAATGCAAACCAATCTGATTGAAGTTGGCTTCCAGCGAACTTCCACGGTTTTACCTTTTTGGGGATCAAGAGATGTTTTGCTTGGGTCTTAACAAAGAAGAACTCGTGTTTACAGCATATGAATAGGGATCTTGCTGATAAATATGCAGCAAAGCAAATAACATAGATTTGACCAATTTTCTTAATTTGGCATCGTACATGTTCTAATGGTTATTTTGTAATCTTTTTGTCTCTCTTGTTTTAAATAGCCTAATAATGGAGCCTATTCGGCTCTTTTATGTTGTAAATATCCCATTACAATAGGATTTCAATTAACTCAATTTCAACATGACATAAGATGACATGTATACCTCCTTTTGAAGTCAGAAATAATGTGTAGTCTTCTCTGGAAGTGGAGCCCCCTATGGGCGACGCTTATGTATACGTGACCTACAAATCAATCAATAATCAAATGAGATCATTTCCTTGAAATAACTTGTAAAAATGTTTATAACATGGAAATACAAGTCTAAGAAAATAGAGGGAAGAAAGCCCATTCAACGCAGGTCAACAATGTCATTAGTGAATGTAACAAATATTATGGCCAATAACTATAATATATATTCTCAGAACTGTCCTGTATCTGGAGCCAATCTAAGATATCTTGAACTGATTCCTATTTTTCATAATTTTCATATAGCTGTGGCTACGCAACACCAGTACTCAGTAGTACAATAGACCAGCTCTTCTTCGAAGCCAACAAGACAGATATCAATGGTATAAATTATACAGATACCCTACAAATAGTTATGGTGTGCGAGCATCGGGATAAACCAATCTTCTTTATCCCAATACAGAATGAAATGATAGAAAATTTGATATTGCAGAGAAGTATAAAGTATTATCCTCACGAATTTCAGCATCACCGATAACAAACACACATGGCACACCAATTAGTATGGAAGAAAACTTAAAAATGGGAGGGTGGGGGAATCGGAACTAAGAAATGAATATTATTATTATTAGACGAGAGATGGGGATAAGCAATTAGGCATTCAACATACACCTTGCTTTATCTGTTGCATGGTTGTCAATTCTATGGCAAATTTGTGAAGTTTAAAATCTATGCTCTTCAGCTCACGGACTTGAGCTTAGAGTGTATGAGAGTGGATCAAGTGTTTGATATTCACAGTGTGACTTAGCTTTTTACGCCAAAGCTCCAATCTTTTTTTATGCTATCATGACTTGTTTCTGTAAAAAATTTCCATTAAGGTAAACCGTCCTTTTGTTATAATGCAAGTTTGAAAGATAACTAGAATTTCTTTCCAAAAAAAAAAAGATAACTAGAATTTTGAGCTCCAACACATTTAGAGCAGCTAGCGCGGCCACCATAGACCACCCCAACGTCCTTCAGAGATGAACACAAGGAATGAAGTGAGGGATACAGACTTTTGCTCGCAACCAGAGGGAGATTGCACCTTACAGCTTGACCATAATCTGTAAATAATTTCTTAAAAAAGTATCACAAAGATCAAAGCACACATGACAAATAAAACACCACATATCAATTACTTTTAGAGAGGAGTTTGAGGAGGCATTGACCGTATTGTCCCTTTTTGAATATAAGATACTTGAATGTCATATAGTCGATTTTTTTTTCCAAACTGCTATGATATCATAGTCGCTGAGGTAATCAGCTACTATGGAATGGACACGTATCACGTCCCCGGCGGCTGGACATGCAACTCATTCAACTCAAAGTCGCTACATAAGGTAGCTATTTTCGCGCAACTTTTCAGCCGGTGCCCGGTGGAGACTCATCCATTCTCAAGTGAAACGTCATCTTTTAGCTCAATAAAGTTTCAGAGTTTTAGAAACACTCAGATCAGAATGTAGATAGAGTAAGAAGAACAAGGTGATGAAACAACAGATCAATATGGAATTAAAAGTTTGAAAAAGATGCTTTCTAGAAAAAGAAAAGAACAGAAGTATATCTGAGTTTCTCAGCTTTCCTTTTTTTGTTTTTCTGTTGTGGGTCAATTTTTTAAAATAGTACTATAATAGTTTATAATTAATCAAGTTCTTACTATTATTAATGTGTCTTTCTGTTCTGTTTTAATTACTTGAGTTCAAAACTTACTTAGTTTCCAAGTAAAAAAGAAAACTTAGAGTAGAAGAGGACCATATAACAAACCTTATATATTTTATTTTAGCACTTGCAATAAATACAGAACATTGGCACACCAATTAATTGTCATATTCGTTAGAATGCAAATGTTCACAAACAATAAAAATTGGTCCAATTAAGGTCTCTTAAGGTTCCATTTTATCCTTGTCATAAAAGATTAATACAACTCTAAGGGAAGTTACGTAAATAATTGTTTATAAAAAAATTAAATTTGCTTAGTCAAATAATAATTAAAATAAAAAATAATTATGATAATTCAGGCATAATTTTTAAAATCAATACAAATTTAAAAATATTAAATTTATTATCAATTATCATGATGTAATTATTGATTTTATCTTTTTTCTTTTTGTTCGAATTCTCTCTATAAAAAGGAAAGAAAAAATCAAACAAATATTTGGTATTTATTGTAATAAATTGATATCAAATATTTAAAAAATTTATGAAAAAAAATCAATATATTATCATTAACCATATTTTTTATATTTTTTAAATTTACTGAAATTTAGAAAAATCACATTAGATAAATTAAAACTAGTTGTAACATTTATTATTATTTGATTAAATAAATTTTATTTTATTTTTAAAAATAATAATTACGTTATATATAAACTTACAGAAAAATATTTCTGCAGTTAATGCAGATAAGATATCTGCATTTACTTTCAAAACGACGTCGTTTTGGGATTGAAAGATTAGAAAATTATAATTATAAATACTATAATAACCCTAAAATAAATTAAAATTACAAAAATATCATGATTTTCGTCCCAAAACAACGTCGTATTGGACTTACTGCAGATAACTTATCTGCTGCAGAAAAAGCGAACCCATAAACTTAATTATTATGTTATTATTATTTTTTATGCTAATTAATATTTACTTGAAGGAATAGGAGTGAAAGAAAAAGTGATATTTGGAACTGAACATCGTGATATGTAATGTGGCAGCATCCTAAGATCTTGCTAGGGCACTTTGGTCTAGCTGCCCCTGTGACTCATTTGGATCTCTTAAAATTAAAAAAGTTCGAATTCATTGTCAATAAAAACATTTTAATAATTTATATTTTTTCCTTTAGTAAAACTAAATCAAATATTTCACATGACTTAATTAGGAAAATAATATCGTGCATTTAATTCATAATTATTTGATTATTAAAATTATTTATGAAATATAATGATAATTACAAAATGATTTACTAAATAATATCATACATTTAAATTTTTTTGGCAAAAAAGGAAAGTAAAAATTCAATTCTCAAATCATTTTAATTGATACTAAATAATATTTTTAAATTTAGAAAGAATTTGAAAATCATATTAAAATAAGGTGCCCATTTAGGCAATATAATAGCATAGTGCATTAAAATTGATTATATGAGATAGCATGGTCATATACAACTCACTGAAAAGGGTAACTAGACTAATATCATTATTTGGCCCAGCATGGATTGCGTCACTGCATTATATGGATGAATTATCTGATTGGATTGGCAAAAATTTCTCTGAAATCAGCACTAAATAGGTAGTTTTGCCAAGGAAATCAATATCAATATAAACAACTCTAAAGGAATACAGCAGCTCTGTAGGCCTAGAAGGAGAAAGAGAATGAAATAGAAGTACATAGAGAAGTAAAGGTTTTGTTTTATTTTTTGTGTTCTTTTGTGGGAAGATGAAGCCTTCAATTGAAGTTGAAGAAGAAGAGGAGGAGAGTTCAAATGAGGACAGACTGAGTAACTTGTCAGATGAAACCATCCATCACATACTTTTCTTCATGGATGCAAAATCAGCAATTCAAATGAGTGTTCTGAGCAAGCGATGGAGGTACCTTTGGACTTCCCTCCCTGTCCTCAATTTTCTCGACTGGTCCTTCGATAATCCTGTCATTTTCCGGTGTTTTGTGAAGCATGTGTTGTCCCACAGAGACGCTTCCACCAATCTCAACATGCTTAAACTTGTATGCAATGGTGATGTTAATGTGTACATTGTACATTTCATCATTAACTACCTTATACCAAGGGGCATTCAGGATCTGAGCATCCTTGCTGAATGTTGTGTAAGGAAGCTGCCTCAACTCTCTGCTTGTCACTCACTCACCACCCTCAAGCTTGCATACATAGCAACTGAGACCACAACGTTTGATTCTGTTTCCCTACAACACTTGTATATTTTTCAATGTGAGTTCATGTGTAGTAGGGTCGAAGAGCTTGATCCTTTCAGTGGTTGTCCCAATTTGAGGTGTCTGCAACTACTTGATTGTTCTTACTTTTCCAAAATTCAGAAGTTTCAAATCCATGCTCCGCAGCTAACGGATTTGAGCATATCCAATATGAGAGTGCATAAAAAACTTGATTCAGACTGCGTGATTGAGCTTTTTACGCCAAAGCTCCAATCTTTTAGCTATAGTGACTCTAAGTATCTATATGATTTTTCCATTAAGGTGAATCTTCCCTTTATAGAGAAAGTGAATTTTGATATAGGCAGTTTTCAGCACTATGATGAATTCATGGCAAGGGCCACTAATTTGTCTCTTAAGCTGATTGATTTTTTTGAAGTGATGGGGAGTGCAAAGTTTGTGTACTTATCAGCTTATATCATTGTGGTAAGTATATATATTCAATTTATATCATTGATTTTGTTTAGTAATTAGTTCCTAGGTTACTGTACTTTGAACTAACTAAGTTCTTGTCTGTCTTTTGTTTTTTCCTAGGCTCTGTCTACAGTTCCTGCTCTACTGGATGGTCGGTCTTCTCCTTTCACTAGCTTGAAGAATTTTGAGTTAACAACGGATACACATATCCCTCTTGCCATACCAATCAATGTGATGGCCTACTTATTTGGTGGATCACCTGGATTTGATTGTGGAAGGTATAAAAGGGGTATTATATTAGATGAGGATATGGATCCTCTCCTGTTCATAACTGGGTAGAGAGGAAGACTGAATAAACTTCAAGAGAAATCATAAGACCACCTTGCTCTGAACGTTTTTATTGTAAGCTTGTTTTTTTTTTTTGAAATAATCATCTCCTGGGACGAGGCATCGTTGTTAATATTGAATAACATTGATTATAATTCAATAACGTGATTCGATCTTTTTTCTCAGGATAAATTACCTTTTTGATTCTGATCAAATTTGACGATGCCCACTCTAGTCTCTAGCAAATAAAAGGGCTATTCGTGGTCCATAAGAAATTCAAAACAGACTCATTTTGTTGAAATCGTGGTCCCTCACAAATTCAAAAAAAAAACACATTAGTCCCTCAAAAGGACTAAAATAGATACACTCTGAATTTCTTAAGGATCACGAATAGCCTTTTTATTTGCTAGGGACTAAAGCGGAGTATCGTAAAATTTGCTGAGGACTGAAAATAATATTTACTAGTTTTCTTATAAAAATCATCAAAATTTAGAATAAATGGAGCCTTTTATCATTTTAGTATTTCTTATATTAACTGCTTTGATAATTTATAAAGCTCCTTAATTATAGAACAATAATAATAAATCAAAATTACTCAATAGGCATTTTAGAATGGTCGAAGAGAACCACCTCCATGACGATTGATCAAATCTGAGTGTTGTCTATAAACATCCGCTTTCTCCTTTATATATAAATTATGTTTGCACGACTTAAATAACACTTCGATCTACTCTTATTCCTAGTGTTTAAAAACCCTGCCCGACCATCGACCTGGCCGAGGTCAGGGGTTACGGGATCACTACGTTGACCCCCGGTTTTATATATTAAAAAATATAAATATATGTATCCTTTATGAAAATATTAAAAAACAAACCACCAATCATTAAAGATTCAAAATATACTTAATATAATTCACCAATTACAACCACAAGTCAATATTACATAATCTAATTAAAGTATCAAGATACTAAGGTACAAAACTCATATTTTAATGGGATTACTACGTTGACCCCTCTTTTGAGAAGGTTCTTGACAAAGAAAAATTTAAAGGAAGTAAGAATGAGTTTTAGTTTTCCATCGACGACCGTAAGGATTTCATTTGAATGAGTAAAATTCTTACCTTTTCTAGAAGATTCACGACAGTGAGGTGAAGATTGAAGACGTCTAGGTCACTAGGAGAGAAGATAACGATTAGATTTAGGTTTGCAAGTATTTTTATTTTTATTTTTTTTACTAAAACGACGTTGTTTCGTGGAATTTAAAAAAAAAAAAAACATGCAGTGACCCCCATTGACCCCTTTGACCTGGGAGTCACTGAAACCCGACTGAGTTTTAAGATCGGAGGGGTCGATGTGCATATAAAGTCTAACTTGTGACCCTAACTCTCAGAGAGAAGGGTCAGGCTTAACCCGGGAGAGCGGGATGAAGTTTTAAAACACTAAGTTATTGCACAAAAAATCATACAATCAGTATTAACAAACAAAATTCTGAAATATTTTTAAAATATTATTTTTTATTTTCTAAATTGTCAAGATATAAAATTATTTTATATCTATCTACTTAATAAAAAAATGTTTTACCCTTTTATTTAGTTTTCTATTTTAAAAAGAATAAAAATTGATACATTAAAAGGATTTATTATCCTTATTTATTTAATTTGAACGTAATTTGATATTGTGTTTATTATCATTTTTTATTTAGGTTGACATTAAAATATTTTTTAAAAAATTTATTAATGAATAAATAAATAACCATAAAACTTTAAATTTTGTTACTAGTACATTGAAAAAAAAAGTGTATTTTTTTAGTACATAAAAAAAGTGTATTTTAGAATGAATTCTCATTCAGTACGCCATTTGTTTGTGATGAAGGAGCATTTAGTAGGGGCTATATTTCTTCAATTGGCTGCAAATCAGCAATCATCAATATGAAGGAAATAAAGTATTAATATATTATCTCAAAACATATATTCTTAATAATTTGGGTTTTTCAAGGAATAAAAAATTATTAAATGATGTTATCAAAAAAAAAAAAAAATTATTAAATGAAAAGGAATGATTTTTAGTAAATAAAAAATCACCCCAATCAATTATTGAGATAATACATATATGTTGAATAAAAAATAAGATATATTTATAATATATGAAAATAACCAATACACTTAATTTTTTATTAATTATTCTTTATCGAGTATTATAAAAGTTAGTAATAAAATATTTTAAAAAGTTATATAATATAAAAAATTTAGTATCTTAAAAACTCAAAATAAATCTAGTGATTTAATTATGATAATTACTAAAAAGTATTAAATGTAGCTTTATTTCTTAACATGTAGCAGAGAAACACAATTACTTGTATTTTAATTCATTTCATTCCATTTAATATTTTTTATTCCAAATTGAGTTTCTGAAATGAAACCATTTTATGAAATAATAAGTGATTGCCCCCAATTTAACTGTATAAAATAAAATAAAATTAAAAGAGATGAAATTATTTCCAATTATGTGATTGTTAAGTGAGAAGGAAAAGCTCAAAATCATCCCAATTAGTTATTTTAATAATTGAAAAATATTAAATATTTATATATTCCTAATATAACAAATACACTTACTTTTTATTTAAATTTTTTTTACTAAGTATTAGGAAAATTAATAAGAGAATATTTGAAGAAGACATAATAAGTTTCTAATACCTTGAAAAGTTAAAATACATTAAAGATTATTCTTTAAATAATTATGCTTATTTAAGGAAATGTAATAAATATTATTATATTACTTAATAACTTGTTCCAAAGAAACACATTATTAAAATTTTAATAAATTTGATAATGATTAACAATAAAATAATAAATACAATATTAATACAAAACACATATTTTTATATATTATGTAGATACATTTATTTTTGAATAAGCATCAATCAAATAAAAATATTATTTAAAAAAAGAGTAAACTTAAAAGAGGATATTTTGTTACACTTAAAATACATTTATTTTTCCCCTCATTAATTAATTAATAATCATTTTGTCCCTTACTCAAAACTACCCACCAACATTTCCCTCGTTAATCGATTAACTGCAATATTTAATAGGTTAAATGGTCAAAACACGTAAAAAAAAAGTTGACTCGAGGTTTAATCTATTAAATCTCTTTCTTAATCGATTAAATATCGAGTTATTTAATCGATTAAAATAATAGTTTAATCGATTAAACTGCGGCTGATGAGTTTTTTAAAAATCTCCCCATTTGGCAGAGGGTGTTATTTTTAAACTCTAATCGATTAAACTCCAGAGAAAAGCCCCAGCTCGAATTTGCTCCACAAATCTTCGTCCAATCATGTGGATTGAGAAGACAAAGTCTCCTACTAGTTTTTTCATCCTCCACAATAAGTTTGCTTCGTTTTGCATCATTTTGTTGTTGTTATTTTTCGGATTTAAGAAGTGTAGACCAAATGGGTAGGGGGTTCATTCGATTGACATGATATATAAGGTCATTCTATGTTTTGATGCTTGTTTAGTTTAGCGTTTTGATGAATGTTGATGGATTTAGGGTTTATTTTTATGATTTTTTTTAATTTTTTTATTTTTGGACGAATTTGTGGGTTCTAATTTTATTTATTTATTATTATTCTGTTTTACAAGGAAGGATACATTGTAGGCACTTAATTTTATCTTGCATTTGCAAGACTTGGATCCATCACCAATTATTACGCCATGGCTATTAGAAAGGCATTCACTAGTTATATTAAGGGCGGTGTATTTGATTAAGATTTTAAAAGATTTTTTGAAGATAAAAAATCGTATAGATTTTAAAAGACTATTTAGAATTGGAGAGACTTTAAAGACTTTTTTAAAAGAGTTTTTTTACAATCAAAATTTTATAAGATTAAATTTTAAAGGATTTTAATAGAATTTATAAAATTTGAAAGGACAATATGGATTTATAAGATTTTAAAAAATCATATGAATTTTTAACAAAAATTCAAATTACAAGACACAACAAAAAAATGCAATTATGTTAATAAAAAAAGTAAAACCTAATATAATTTTCTCAATCAGTAAAATTCATGATAACATTTTGTTTGAAATTTTTTGCATTTGATCTTGTAAACTTTGGGGATTTTGTTCTACGTGATGAGAGTTTTCTAACCATATATTATATGCATGTTTTCATTGAGTATTCCAAAATTTTCGGGTTTTATTACATTAAAGTTTAGAAAATTTCTCAAGTTATTTTCAATCAATACATTGAAACCTTAAATTGCTTTGGGGCTTTTGAAAAATAAGTTTTTAGTGATCTATTGGCGTAAAAAATGTTTGAAATTATTTCTTATAGCGAAGGAATTTCTTTCATGTATGTACTGTTATGAAATACATGGTTCATATTATAAAAATTTCAATCTTTATTTAAATCGATTTTTTTCGTTGATGTAAAACAAAAATTGATTTAGGGGTTTTCGTTCTCTGTTATTTTCCCACTATTTTATGTTATTTTTAATATAAAAATCACATATTTTTTGTGCCAAGAAAAATCGCAACCAATAGCTTGAATAATTATTTTTTAAATTTCCTAAAACTCTCAAAAATCGTTCAAAAATTTGTTTTTTTTTATATAGATTATATTAAAATCTTGTTGGATTATTGTTTCTGGGTTGTTTTGTGATGAAAATCGCTAAAAAATCTGCTATTTTTTAGCTTTGACGAAGCTCCCATGGCGGAACTCGGTTTCGAGCGGGTCGATCCGCCAAAGTAAGATGAAGACACTAAAATAGAAAAATCTCAAAAAATCCTATGGTTTAGAGTGAGATTGTGAGAGAGGCATCCTATTTATATTTCTCACTAAAAAGTCTCACAAAATCCACACCAATAGAAAATCCATTAAAATCATCAGATTTTTGAATACCACAAGATTGTTTTTCCTTTATTTATATTCCTGATTGAATACTAACGGATTTAGACGGACTCTAAAATAATCTTTTAATATCCTAATCGAATACCACATAACTTTTTTTCAATCCTTTAAAATCCTAATTGAATACCAATGGATTTTTTTGTCCAAAAATAATCCATTAAAATCTCAATTCAATACACCCCCTTAAAAAAATTATGTCTTTGTATAATAGGATCATGTCTTGTTAATTACTTATTGGAATGCCATTTTTTTTAAGTTCAAAATTTCTTGAAAAGCAAATACTTGGAACTGTGTAGTGCTAAGAAAGTTCAACAAACAAACATAATTAGTCCAACTAAGGTCTCATGAGGGTTCAATTTTATCCTTGTCATAAAAGATTAATATATCTCTAAGGGAAGTTCTGTAAAGTTTTGGCAAAGATAATTTGATCATATAAGGAGAAAAAGCTCTCATGAGAAAAGCCAATCAAAGATTAATACATTTTTTACGTAAATATTTTTTTTATAAAAACGTAGTATTAAATTTGTTTAGTCAAATAATAATTAAAAAAATTAATTATCAGGCACAATTTCTAAAATCATTATAAATATTAAATTTATTATAAATTATTATGATTTGATTTTTTATTTTATCTTTTCTCTTTTTGCTCGATCAAATTCTCTCTCTGAAAAAGGAAAGAAATAAAATAAATCATCAAATATTTGATATTTATTGTAATAAAATGATATTAAATATTTGATTTTTTTTGGTAAAAATCAATATATCATCATTAATCATATTTTTGTTATTTTTAAAATCGATATATGTAATGAGGCAGCATCCTATAATCTTGCTAGGGCACTTTGGTCTCGCTGTTCCTGCAGCAAGACCTTTTGAATCTCATAAAATTTAAAAAAGTTCGAATTTATTGTCAATAAAGACATTTTAATAATTGATTTTTTTCCTTTTTATAAAAATAAATCGAATATTTCACCCCACTTGATTAGGAGAATGATATCGTGCATTTAATTCATAATTATTTGAATATTTATGAAATATAACATTATTACAAAATGATTTACTAAATAATATCATACATTAATTTATTTATTTTTGGCAAAAAAGGAAAGTAAAAATTCAATTCTCAAATAGTTTTAATTGATAAGAAATAATATTTTTAAGGGTAGGATATTGTAATAACCAATTAGTGTTATTATCCATATTACTACCAATCAATTTCACCGTTAGATCGATTATGTTGATTGTAACAATATATATGGATGTCTCGTTGCATGTCTTTGATTTCACACGTGAAGTCTCAATAAAAGTCAACACAAAAAGAAAGTCACACAAAGGATCTTTGTATTTGCGCCTTTGAACAGATCATTAAAAACCCAGAACTCCGATCTTCATATTTGAGACCTTGAACAGGTCATTAAAGGTCCAGAACTCCGATTTCCACGTGTAAACTCCATATCTATAAATAAGAGGTAAAGGTGAGTAACACCTTTGTCAAACGCAGCTAGTCCAATTTCATTTAGACATAACACAATGGAACACCTCTTGTCCTTTAAATGGCTTCTTGTCATCTTTATCATATACTCAACCTGTCTCACTGAAACACAATCACTCACCAGCATTCCAAGGTTGAGTGTGACTCGGAGCCGAAAAACATCGATATACGACACTGCAGCACTGGCTGAAACCGAAGAAGTCAAAACATTTTATTACAATCAGACACTGGATCACTTCAACTATAGGCCTGAAAGCTACTCAACATTTCAACAAAAGTATATGATGAATTCTAAGTACTGGGGCGGCGCCAAAACTAGCGCTCCCATATTTGCCTACTTGGGTGCAGAGGAAGCAATAGATGCCTCCGTTGTTAATCAAGGATTTTTGAACGATAATGCTGCTTCCTTTCGTGCTCTCTTAGTACACATAGAGGTACGGTTATTTATTTTTATTTATTTTTACTCCGATTCAATATTTTAACATATTTTGGGTAAAATAAATAATCACCTCATCTAAAAACGCAAGTTATTACATAATTAAGGGCTTAATGGTTTTATATATTTCTTATCTAAGACAGTACTCTTATTTTTCTTATCAGCACCGTTACTACGGGGATTCAATTCCATTTGGATCTAAAAAAGAAGCATTTGAAAATGCCAGCACTTATGGGTATTTAAACTCAGCTCAAGCTCTTGCTGATTATGCGGAAGTCCTCGTACATATAAAGAACACATTAAAGGCCCAAGAGTCTCCGGTCATTGTAATTGGAGGCTCATACGGTGGAAGTTAGTGATCAGTCAAATTTATAGTTGTTCCACTTATAATCTTATATAGTGTATATACTGTTACAACATTTTTTTTCTCTCATAATATGTGTTGACATATCTATCTACATATCTTTTTTTCTTTTATTTTTTTATTTTGCAGTGCTCGCTGCATGGTTTAGGCTCAAATATCCCCATTTGGCCCTTGGTGCCCTAGCCTCGTCAGCTCCTCTCCTCGAATTTTATGATATTAGACCACAAGATAATTATTACGCTGTTGTCACGAAGGATTTTCGAGTAATATATACTATAAAATTAAGTTTGATATTTTTTTTTAAAGTTATATTTACAAATTTTTTATTTATAAACTACATTATGTAATGTATGGCTGGTCATATTCAATCAAGTGTATGACCGGTCATACTTAATGTAATTTGTAAAAAATATTTGTAAACGAATTTTTTTATATATATATATATATATATATATATATATATATATATATATATATATATATTTATATTTATTTTTAACGTCAAATGCTTAATAGGAGTCTTGTTAATGACATGCAATACATATATATGCAGGAAACCAGTGAGACTTGCTATGAAACTATACTGAAATCCTGGTCTGAAATCGACAGAGTAGCTTCTCAGCCAAATGGTCTTTCCATTCTTAGCAAGAGATTCAACACTTGCAGGTACAAACACTTTTTTTTTTTTTTTTTTACTTTTTTGTTTGGAGTTATTAAGGTTTACAAAACCATTCGTTTTGAGTATGGTATGCTGCATCATTTTGTTAGTCCCTTAACTGACGCTGAAGGCTTGAAAGGCTCCCTGCAAATGATGTATTCATATGCGGCTCAATACGATTACAATACTTATCCGACAACACAAGTTGCTCAGATCTGTGGTGCCATTGATGGAGCTTCTTTTGGAAATGATATCCTCAGTAAGATATCTGCAGGTGCACAAGCCGCTAAAGGGGAAAACAACTGTGTAAGCAACGTTAATGACGTTGAACCATCCTCGGATTCAGTTGATTTTGACAACTGGGGATGGCAGGTAATGGCATTTACAACTAGTTCATTTTTTTTTCTTTTCTTTTGCCAATATATATATATATATATATATATATATAATTCGTTAGTACTGACCCATTAATTACATTCTTTGAAGAATTCAATGTTAACATTCTTGAAATTTAGATTAATACATGCACAAAAATTCAAATTGTGCATGATGATTGGTGTTATATCTCATGTATATTGATTGTTGAAATCTGTCTTTAATTGATCTAATTAAAGATGATTGTATATTTAGACATGTAATGAGATGGTAATGCCTATTGGCATCGGAAATAATACCATGTTCCCACCTAACCCCTTCAACATAGAGGGCTTTGTCGACCAATGCAAGAGAAACTATGGTGTCTCACCTCGGCCTCATTGGGTTACAACTTACTATGGAGGTCATGTAAGTACTACATTTTTAGATTTCTATGCAACATCCACATGAACTCGTTCTAAGCATATAAATGTCAATTTCAATTGTAAGATTATATGGAGGCAAGAAAATTACATTTTCTTTTGGCTACTGGCAGGATATAAAACGGGTCCTTCAAAGATTTGGTAGCAACATTATTTTCTCAAATGGGCTAAGAGATCCTTATAGTAGTGGCGGGTAAGCAATCTGAAGTACAAAACTAAATGGATTGCATGTTTTAAAACAATATTTTATTAACAACATTAATTTATGTATATATGTCAGGGTTTTGGACAACTTATCAGACAGTCTTATAGCCAGTCATACTGTTAATGGTATGTCTTTATGATTTGATAGTACTAGTATTTATATTCTATATATGACTATGACCCTTTTTCTTATATATCATGGTAAGAGAGTGCATAACCATGTTCGATTTAACGAATCAAATGAAACCATGGAAATAATTTTTTTAGTTGACGTACAAAATTTGATTTTTCAGGATCTCATTGCTTGGATCTTTCTCCTGCAAATGAAAACGATCCTGTCTGGTTGGTCAGACAACGAAAGGAAGAGATCGAGATAATCAACTCGTGGATCACACAATATTATGCTGATCTTAGGTCTCCTATAAATTTAAATTTCGAGAGCAATTGGTGATTTGGTGAAAATCAAGCAGTAAAGAAGTCCAATGACTTTGATCATAATCCATGTAGCCCGCTCTTCCCCTCTTGGGACAAGGAATCGTTGTTATTGCATCGTTTTTATTGTTGAATAATATTTATTATAATCCAATAATATGATTCGATTTTTTTCGTATAAAAAATATAAAAATTTAGAATAAATGGAGCCTTTTATCATTTTAATATTTCGTATATATATTAACTGCTTTGATTAGTTTTTACTGCTCCTTATAGAATAATAATAATAATAATAATAATTACTCATTAAAAAATTACTAAATAGGAATTTTTGAATGGTCGAAGAAGCACCTCCATGACGATTGATCAACACCAGTGTTGTTTGCAAACATTCTCTTTATACTAACACTTCTATGGATATATAAAATCAGTATTAATAAATAAAATTCTTAAATATTTTTAAAATATTAAATGTTTTCTAAATTGTCATTTGTCAACAATAACATACAAAATTATTTTGAAATAATTTTTTTTATATATTATAATATAGGGAAAAATATTATAAAAAATGTTTATCCTTTAAAGAACAGTTATTTCGGTTAAAATTAATATTTTTTATTTAATATTTAAATTGAAAAATATATTTCAATTTTTTCTACTATGATTTATGTTTCTCTTATCATATAATACAGTAGTTTTGACTTAAATGACACAATTAAATATCTTTTAAAAAAATAATATTAATCCCTCATATATATATATATATATATATATATATATTACCCCTTCATTTAATTTTTTTTTTAAAAGAATTTAACTTGATACTTTAAAACCTTCTTTATTTAATTTAAAAGTAAAGTGATTTTTCGTGAATAAACCTAAAGTAGCATTTCAAATTGTGTTTAGTACCATTTTTTTTACTTTGTTTAGATTATCATTACAAAAACATTTTTTGGTCAAATTTATTTATTAATATATAAATAAATGACCATAAAACTTTAAATACTGGTACATTGAAAAAATGGAACAGTGACCAATGTGTCAAGTTTTTTGCATTTATATACCAAACTGCTACACGAACAATAAAATTACCAGATTACCACGCGTTGAAGTTCACTACGACTGGTAGCGAATTTGGTAGCCAATTATTTCTTGACACGTGGCACACTTTCGCAGGAAAAGCTGATTGCCACGTGTCCTAGTTCGCTACGACTGGTAACAGACTTGATAGCCAATGATTTCGTGACATGTGGCACAATTTTGCAGAAAAAGCTGTTTGGAATAAGTTTGCTACGAGGGGTAGCGAATTTGGTGCGCTATGTTGTATAATCTCATTTCCGATCAAAATTAATGTACCAATCACGATAAAAAAGAAAGAAAAGAAAACGAAGGAAATAAGCTATTTAATTAATGTACCAATTGCTAATCACAATTAATGTATCAATCACCAATCACAACTAATTTACCAATCATAATTAATTTTGATTGGTACATTAATTGTGATTGGTGATTAGTACATTAATTGTTTGTGATACCATTGTTACAAATTCAAATGATATTTTTGAGATATAAAATATGTCAAATGAGATGTCATTATGTAGATATCAAAAAGTTACGTGAAATAAAATAAAAATATATGATTTGGATATCCGAATCAAAAGTTATGGCCTTCCGAAGCTATTGGTACAATCAAAAGTTAATCTCATTGGTACACTAATTGTGACTGGTGATTGATACATTAATTAGATAGCTCTTTTCCTTCATTTTTTTTTTATTATGATTGGTACATTAATTCTGATCGGGCAACGAGATTGTGTCACATAGCACACCAAGTTCGCTATCCCTAATAGCGAACTTAGTCCAATTATATATCTTTTTCTGCGAAAATGTGCCACGTGTCATAGAATTATTGGCTACCAAGTTCGCTCGACTAAGTCGCAGCGAACTTGGACATGTGACAGTCAGCTTTTTCTGCGAAAGTGTGTCACATGTCACAAAATTATAGACTACAAAATTTGCTACTAGTCCCAGCAAACTTCAACAAGTGGTAGTTTGATAAAAAATAATATTTACGTGGCAGATTGGTAAAAAAGTGTCAAAAAAACATAAGAGTTTGATAACTGTTCCAAAAATAGTGTATTTTAGAATGAATTCTTATTTAGTACAACATTTTGTTTGTGATGAAGAGGGCAACAGGCATTTAGTGGGCTACATTTCAGGGCAGCAATCATCAATGTCAAGGAAATAGAGTATTCATACATTATCTCAAAACATATTCTTAATAATTTGGATTTTTCAAAGAATAAAAAATTAATAAATGAGAAGGAATGATTCTAAATCATCTCAATCGATTATTTTGATAATACTTTTATATTGAATAAGAAAAGTAAAACATATATATGGTCATGTACAACTTGCTAAAAACGGTAAACAGACTAATCTCACTTTTTGGCCCAACAAGTTTCAATGCATTATAAGGACGAATTATTTGATTGATTGGCAAATTTCTTTAGAATCAGCATTAAATATGAAGGTTTTTTTTTCAAGGAAATTAATATCTATATAAACAACAACTCTAAAGGAATTGAGCAGCTCTGTAGGCCGAGAAGGAGAACAAGAATGAAATAGAAGTAGAAGTAGAAGTAAAGGGTTTTTTTTTTTGATCCTTTTGTAGGAAGATGAAGCCTTCAATTGAACTTGAAGAAGAGGAGGAGAGTTGGAGGGTGGAAACACATGAAAACATCAACACAAAGAATAAGAGCAAAATGAAGGAGGACAGACTGGGTAACTTGCCAGATGAAATGATCCATCACATACTTTCTTTATGGACATAAAAACAACAGTTCAAATGAGTGTTCTTAGCAAGCGATGGAGGTATCTTTGGACTTTCCTCCTCGTCCTTAATTTCCTCGACTCATCCTTCGATGATTATGTCATTTTTTGGTGTTTCGTGAAGCATGTTGTCCCGCAGAGACGCTTCCACCAATCTCAATATGCTTCAACTTGTGTGCGACCATGATCTTTATGATGATGATGTGGACATCGTAGATTCCATCATTGACTACGTTAAACCAACGGACATTTAGGATCTGAGCATCCTTGCTGAATGTTTTATTGGGAATCTACCTCAACTCTCTGCTGGTCGCTCCCTCACCACCCTCCACTTGGCATACTTAGCAACTGACAGCGCAATGTTTGATTCTGTTTCCCCACAACACTTGCATCCTTTTCAATGCGAGTTCAAGTATAGGGTCGAGGAGAATGATCCTTTCAGCGGTTGTCCCAGTTTAAGGTGTCTGTCACTACTTGATTGTTCTTACGTTGAAAAAATTCAGAAGTTTCAAATCCATGCTCCCCAACTAACAGACTTGACCATATCCAATATGTGAAAGGAATCAGACTTTGCGATTGAGCTTTTTACTCCAAAGCTTCAATCTTTTAGCTATAGTGACAACTGTTATCTTTATGATTTTTCCATTAAGGGGAAGGAGAACCTTCCCTTTGTAGAGAGAGTCAATATTGATTTGGGCGGTTTTCGGCTCCATGAAGAATTCACCAAGGCCACTAATTTGTCTCTTAAGCTGAGTAAATTGTTTGAAGCGATGGAGAGTGCAAAGTTTTTATCCTTATCACCTCAAATCATTCAAGCAAGTATATTACTTTGTCCAATGACCAAGGCCATTGAATTAATTAGTAGTTGATTGCTTACTGTACTTTGAACTAATTTCTTTGTCGGCCTTTGATTTTTCCTAGGCTCTGTCTGTGGTTCCTGCTCTACTGGATGGTCGGTCTACTCCTTTCACTGGATTGAAGAATTTGGAGTTAATAATGAATAGAGGTATCCGATTTTCCATACCTACCCATGTCATGGCCTACTTATTCACCGTTCTTGAATAACAAGTAGAGGAAAACTGAGAAAACTTTACGAGAAATCATAAAAAAAAACCTTGCTTTAAATGGTTTTGTTGTTAGTTTTATTTTTGATAGAATTCAATGGCATGGATTATAATTCATGTAGTCAACTCCCCCTCCTGATATAAGACATCGTTGTTATTGTTGTATTGATGCTCAATTTGATTTGTTAGGAAGTAAGTCACATGATCCATGTTCATTGTTAAAACTATATCAATCGGTTCTCATTGTTCAAATTTCTGCTTCCACAATTGTATATAAACCGCAAATTAGTTAGAAAGAGCGAAAGTGGTAAAACTTGGACATCTCTTTCTTGTAAATACCTAAAATGTATTTTAACTTCTCAAGGTATTAGAAACTTATTATGTCTTCTTAAAATATTCTCTTATTAATTTTCCTAATACTTAGTAAAAAATATTAAATAAAAAGTAAGTGTATTGTTATATTAGGAATATATAAATATTTAATACTTTTTTCAATTATTAAAATAACTAATTGGGATGATTTTGAGTTTTTCCTTCTCACTTAACAATCACATAATTGGAAATAATTTCGTCTCTTTTAATTTTTTTTTTAGTATGAATGCATAACGATATAGTTATACAGTTAAATTGGGGGCAATCACTCATTATTATTTTATTTCATAAAATGCTTACATTTCATCAAATTTTTTTACGAAATTCTTTTTTCATTTAAAACATTTGATGGAGAAAATTTCGTTAAACTTTTGACGGAAATTAAATTTCGTCAAAAATTTCGATAGAAAATTTATTTTTGTAAAAATTTTCATCGAAGAAAAAATTCTGTGGCATTTCGATGAAAAAATAATTTTTTGACGAAATTTTTGTCATTTACAATGTAGAAATTTCGTCGAAAATATGATCTTTTTAGTATTGTGAAAAGTACATAAATAATTTTGTTAGAAATTTTAAATTTAATTTAATTTAATTTGTAAAATATAATAATTACATTAATTTTAAAAATGGGATAAAATGGTAAAAATATCTCATTAACCCTCTAATTTTCTCCCTTATCATTTTTTAACTCCCAAACAAGAAAAGAGAATACCCTTCAATTTCCTTCCTTTCCTTCCCCTCCCTCCCCCTTGAATTCTCTTTTTTTCCCTTCCCCTCCAAACTCTCAAACAAAGTCTAAAGAAAAAATAGGTGAAATTTTTCCTTCCCCTTCCCCTTCCTTGCAGAAATGCCCTCTAGAGATTTTTCCTTTTCGTCTATCCTCCTCTATCTTTGTCCAAGATTTTGAAATTTCTTGTGTATTCTTTCTCAGCTTACCAAGTATTTTAGATCATCAACTCCAAAAATCACCACTCTCCCATTTTCTTAATCTCAAGTCTATGCCTTCTTCTGTTTTTTAGAAACTCTCCCTTGTTGTTTGTGAGCTCTCCCAAGTGGCTTATGAACTCTCAACAGTACTATTGCATGCACCGTGTGTAGTCTTTTTTCTTATTCCTTAATTGCTCTACATGATGGTTTAGTTTTATTAATAGGGATTCCTTTCATAGAATTCATACAAGTTTCGGAGTAGGGAAAAAGTTATTCTTTTATGATCATAAAATAACAGATATGAGTCAATAAATAAATTTTTTACGAAAAAAAAAAAGTAAAAAAAAAAAAAAAAAAAGTCTAAAATCTTGTGCATTGAGATTTGTCCTTTTCCCTATAAAGAAAAAAACCGAAAGACAGATGAACACTGCCTGCCCCTAATCTCCGCGCTTTCGGGTCATTCGCCTTCATCTGTTTAAATTTTACAACGACTGGTCATCCTAGCTTATTAATTATGATCTTTAAAAAAGGGATTAAAACTGCTTAAGTTTGTGTATGATATAACATAAACATATAAGGGTCCCACTACAAAATCTTTAGTATAATGAATCAGTATAAACAGCATCGATACAACCAAAATCTGATGGAATCAAACCCATCTTATGGTATCATGTTACTCTAGACATAAGATTAGTTGAAAAGAATAGTCTCTTGCATGCTGGTAAAATGCATGAAAAAAGAACTAATGCCAAAGAGAGCAGATCAAAATGCATTTGAAGATACATGTTTGAAAGAAACATTGGATGATATCCAATAAGAAGCCACTCAGTCTATCCAATGATAACACTTATAAGCTATACTATCTTTTCCATCACTCTGTTGCATTGTTATCCTCTACCGCTTGGGTTACACCAACTTCAGCTGGACGAATAACACGATCATAAAGCATATATCCTGCCTGCAAGCATAAACATAAGATAGGCACATATCATGTTTTCAATCTCCTAAATGAACGACCGAACAAACCAATAATAAGACCACATTTGTTCCAAAATTAAAAGAAACAAAACCTCCGACCCAAAATGAATTTAGAAATTAAAATCCCTTTGCTAGGCATATAATATAAATGGAAAGCATCGGCATGATTCACATTTCAAACAAAAAAGTGTCACAAATAGTGACACATATTGACCTAAACTCGTTACATTGAAAATTGAAAGGGCATTAACCAAAAACTATGTCGCACTAGTTGCATATCCAGTATGATACACAAATAGGATGATAAAAAAAAAAAGAAAAAAAAAACACAGATAAGGTAACATATAATAAATAAAATATTTTTATACCTACAAAAAAAAATTTATCCACTTATGATTGCTCAAACTAAAAATCTCATGTTTTTTCTAACTCGTTTGGTGAGGATGAAGGTATACTATTCTTTGTGATGATTTTGAGGAGGGCAAGACTGCAAAGAGTGAGAATATGCTTTGGCGGAGGTGATGGATAACAACATGACTTGACTTTGCATCTCATATTTTTTCGAACAGAAGAAATATTGATACATCAAAAATATGAATGCAGTAGTATCATACGAGTATGTTATGGCTCTGGATTCTTTACGGCAAGAAATTACTGTATAGGTATAATGGAAAATGGAAAGGAAGGAAAACGAAGGAAAATAAAAATATTATTGAGGAACAAAGAAGGTACCAAGAGAAAAACCTCTTCATAAGGGACTGCTCCCTTCACACTGAGAATATCTCAGTTTAAAACAATATCTCCAAAGAATGCCTCCTAACAGAGGGTGTATCCCCTTATATACATGTAACCAGGCTTCCATGTTAAGGTAATGACTAACTGACTGCTTCTAACTGCCAAACCAGCAGTTCTATCTAACTAAGGCCCCTAATTAAGGACCCTAACTCATGTAACTGGCTGCCCCCTGGTCTATTTCTCTAGGTACATGCTTACCAGGTCCCCTGGGTCCATCCTTATTGCAGTTCATATTAAAGTACCAGGATCAAATATAACTATGATATAAATACACCACCAATTTTTGAGTATCCGTGCATCATAGACCAAGAATAACACGTCAAGAATTTTAAGGGTCCCAACAAATATTTGAAAAAATGAACCACATTCCTTCTGCAAACAATTATGTAAATTACCTTCAGAACAGCTGCAACGGTGCCTGGAGGCTTGGAACCATCAGGTATTTGGAAGATGGCGTTATGCCTGTGTGGATCAAATGGCTCATTTGTAGGATCAAATTTTTCTACACCAAACTTTTTAAGTACCTGTAAGCAGAAGCGGTTAGCTAGCTTGAAGAGAATAGGCCGAAGCACTTTACTGTCCCCAGCAGTACATTATTTCAAGCACACAATGATGTATGGTAAAATATAAGTGGAAATAACTTTCATAATAAGGTAATAAGTTATAAACTTAAAACTTTTGTTAATCTGATGGCACGGAAAGGTGCCAAAGTCCTTTCCCAAATTCCCCACAACCCCCATCAACACATCAAAATTCAAAGAGTAAACTAAATATCTTATTTACAATCTTGCCACAGAAAAATCAAGTGTTTTCAGAACTAAAATAAAATAAAATTCTTTTGTTTTTAACAAAAAAATGGTATAACAAAATCATTTCCCAATGTGTTCATAATATTCAAAATCTAAAACCAAAACAAGCCCCTAATCTCACAGCATCTGAAAAACCACGAACCTGAGCCTAAAGCTTCCTCTCCCATTCCCACTAAATCACCCCCTTACTACCCTCACATCACCGAACCTTCCATCCACCTCTTTTTACCATTACCAAGCAAAACCATAAATTAGCAGCAATAGCTGAAAAGAAAAGGGGAAAAAACTACAATAACTATATAAATGACCTAGTAGAAAGGATTGGATACAATTAAACAAAAACAACATAAAGCAGAATATTTTACCTCTGAAAGTTGTTTCTCGGTCATTTCAACACCTTCCATAAGTGTTTTCAGGAGTTTTACTGCTTCAGTAGAGTCACTCGATGTATCGATTTTTGAAAAACTTTCCTTTACAACTGAGGAAGCTCTTCCCAAATTGTCCGCAACATCTAGTAAACTCTTCGCAAAATTCTACAGCACATTTACACCACTCAGCATAAAGTTGAAGAGTAAATAATTTTGGACAAAAAGGTTTAAACTTAGACCTGTATAGCAAATTTTTTCGAATTCTCAGCATCACGCCTTGTCCTATCCATGACATTCTCCATCTCTGCATAAGTACGCAGAACTTTGTCCTGCATGTTCTGAATCTCTTGGTGCTTTAACTTCAAAAGTTCTTCCCTCTCAGCTACAAGCTTAATTAAATCCTCTCTGGATAGATCACATTCACTCTCTGAATCTGAATCAGAAAACGAAGTTCGTTTAATACCTCTCTTCCTTCTTTTGACAGTTTGAGATTGAATATCTGAAATGGAACCTGATTCTTCTGTTTGATCTGCAGGTTTGGCTTGTCCAGCCTGATCAATTTTCTTTGCCTCTTCGTTTGTTTTTGCAGGATCCTCATTTGTAGAATCTCCATTATTCCCCTTTTCCTTTTCATTAGTTTCAGTTGAGGCTGATGAAGAAAATCCAAATCTTGGAGTTAAGGATGAATTGATAGGTGGACGTAACAAATTGTCTTGAATTGGAATCAGCTGGAGTATTAGAAAACATATGTGGAACTTGATGAGAATTTTAGAATGTATAAATAAATTTACTGAATAAATAATGTTACCATATAAATAATTGGGACCTAGAGTATAGGATAATAATTACCATATAAATAATTTTCGTAGTATCATTTACATTAGAAAAACAATAAAATTTGGGGACCAATGATGAGAGAAAAGAGTTAAAAAGACATGACATATTACAGTAAGATTAAAGCTCAAGCACAGTGTTCTTCAACTATGATACACCGACACCGATAGGGGACACAACATGACACGGCACAACACTTCGACACTTTAATTCTAAAAAATGTTAAATTTCAACACGTTAGGATACGTTTTGATATTAAATAATATTTTTAATATATATAATATAATTTACATTTAATACATATAACAGACGTAGTCACAAGAAACTGGTGTTGTTTTGTAAGAGTATAGGTGGGTTATGATAATAAATGTCCCATACTATAAATTATTATGCATATTCTATTTAAAATTATATAATTAATTTTTACAATCTATAACTCAACAATTGCTATACTATAAGTCATTATTTTCTTCACTTTAAATAAAAAATCTGATCTTTGTAGCAGAGTCACAGTAGAACAAGCAGTGAGGCCAAGAAGGCACATTTATCAGTCACATCTAACCTCAAGTGGGGTCAAGAACAACCATGGATTAGAACCAGGGTTAAAAAACAAGTGGTTAAGAAGGAGACAACCACATAACCCAGATTTTTATTATCAACAGTCATCCCTGAGAGCATCATCATCAACAGTCATCCCTCAGAGCATCATTTTCCTTCTCGTTCTTCTTTGCCTCCACCAAAGTAACCCTTCTTTTCTTTTCTCCCTTTTCATTATCACTTCTTTACAACCCAACCCAGACCTAGCATGATTCCGGCAAAGATGACGATGAAATATGAGATCCCGGCGTACACGAACCACCAGACCGATCCGAACAACATTTCTTCATGGCTGACAAGTTAGTCCATAGTCAGCAACCGAGTCACCACATTCATCGTCGTTTGTGTTCTTCTTCATTCTTCCTCTTCTTACAATTTACTTTTATATTTTATTTTAGAATTATTTTAATTTTATAAATATTTCAAAAAATTTACATTCCTGTCCTTTGACTGTGTCGGATACGGTCAAAATCACGTGTCGGGATAGTCAACATGTCTGAAAATATTGACCGCATGTCGGAACGTGTCGTAGCGTATTGGTGTCCGACACGCATTTTTCATACAAAATGTCATGTCCGTGCTTCATAGTTCTTCATCATCAATCACTTTTTTCTTTTGAAGTTGACTCAAGAATGACTTTTTAAAAAATTGTCCGTACACCAAAAACTTATTTCCAGAAAAGGTGAAAACGCTCTATTAAAAAAAATTCCTTTTGAATAAAGCATTTTTAACATTAACAAGCTACAATATATGATGAATTATAACAAAAACTTCATTAATGTAATGAACACATCACACCCCGATAAAACCCTAGCTAAATAGAGAGTCAAAATCAACAGCAGCATAATGAAGGAAGAGATTTCTTAGTTATTTTTCTAAACCCTAAAATGAGATTCGTAATGTTTTTTCTAAACATTTCAGTTCAAAAAGGAATTGCTAAAACAGATTAATCAGCCCTAAATGAGGTGTAAAAGCAACATCTAGGTTCTATACTATCTAATGCAACAATGAACACAGAACAACCTAATCCAATCAGCATAAAATAGGGATTTTGGAAACATAAGCAATCAAAACCATAAAATCTGAAATTCAAAGAGAGAGAGAGAGAGATAGATAACAACAAGGAATCTTATAGGCAACATAGTTCAAACCTAAAATCAATTTTTGATAAATACAGTCAATTAGGAGCTCCAATGTTCTAAACTTGGATATATCTCCACACATAAAACCAAAATTCAATAATCCAAAACCATAATACCATCAAATAGAAACAGTAAAGCCAACAGAAATGTAAGAATCCTCTTTGAAACTGTTCAGATTTTCAAAGTTTCAGCAAACACCTAAAACCCTAGCAAAACCCTACAGCGAAAAAATGCAAAATAAAGAAAATCAATGTTTTTCCAGAAAATCAGGCACCGTACCTTGTTGGGAAATTGGGGAACGAGGGAATGTAAGTGATTGGAAAAGGTGGGAAAGTGTTGGGGTCTTTGAGAAGCAGAGAGAAGCGTAGAGCTTCGGCAAATAGTGGTGGAGACACGTGATAAAACCCTATAGAGAAACATCGCTGAGGAAACAGAAGAAGACGAAGAATTTGAATGGCAAAAGGAGAAAACTTGGAATGAATTTCCAATGCAGAGGAAGTGGGGTTTATGAGCAACTGGTTGTGTCCGAGGAATGCAAAGAAAGTGAAGGAAAACAAAGGAAAGTGCTTGAATTGTAGATTGACTATATTACCCTCATCTTTTTTCATTAAAACGACGTCGCTGGAGACGATTTTTCAAATTTTAGCTATTATTAAGTTTTATTTTAGGTGCCGACGGAAACTCGCCATGTTAACTCAGACTTTATTTTGAACATCTTTTTTTTTGGTGAAATATTTTGAACATCTTTAATTATTGGATTTTATACTTATGAGATTAGTGTTTTTACGTTATAGAGAAAAAATATGTGCAACCTATATATTAAAAAAATTATGTGTGGGATTTATATCAGCAAAAAAAATCCAAGAATAAATAGAATTTTTTTTTATCTCATGCTACATGAGAAGTATAAAACCTTAATTATTTGTTAAATATAAAGTTTCAGTGTAAATTATTTGTAGTGATTTATATTTCTCATATTATAGGAGATAATTTTATCTTCTACATTTATGTAAAAATAAAAGGGTTTATATTTTCTTTTTCTCTCTTTTTTCCTCACATGCCCTCGTTAGATCTTACACACACTATATATATAGAAAAAAAATTATCTCATATAAGATATAGAATTTTGCCTTTGTCATGTTGCATGACACAAGTTGAATTCCGTACACATACATTAATATATGTGCTGTATTTTCTTTTCTTTTTTTTTTATTTTAAAAATGATGGAAGTCATAGTAGTTGTCTCTATAACATGACAAGATAATTATCCTACAAAATAACATAACAAATATTAATTATATCAATTTTTATATCTAACCTAAATCTAGTACATAGTACATTGAAAGTTTATTTTTTTTGTAATAAAGAATTTAAATAGATTAACATATTTAAAAAAATTAAATAGCTCAACAAATGACAATGGTAATAATAATAATAGATTATTGCTTACCAAAAAAAATAGATTATTATATTATAGATTATTTAATTAATATGTCGAGTGTCAAGTGTAAAAGAATTTTTTTTATATTTTTAACTAAATAAGTTTTTAAAAATATTAACAAACGTTTAAAAAAAAAAAAAAAACCCTTAATCTTGGAGTGAAAACTATTCGTTTTTGTAAGCTAGTTGCGTGTTGCTACTTGCTAGAGGGATAACGCAACCAATGTATGATGTGCAGCACCTGATAGTCTTGCTAAAGTAGATAATGACTTGCTTTGCCATCCACCCTAGTGCGAATGTCAAGATGATAGTTATATCACATGATACAACTATAATATTTTGTCTTAAATTTTGTTCCATCTTCTCTCATTCTAGGTATATATTAATTAGTATTATATTAATAATTATATAATAATTGAGATCGTAAATAATTTAATTATTATTATTTCGGAATTTAATATCAAATTAATTGAGTTAAATAATAATTAACATCAATAGTAATAGTTTGATTATTGATTTTTGTTTTACTTTTTCTTTTCATCAAAATAGTTCATAATTACTTGAATGATAAAATTATTTCCGAAATATTATAATTTTATGCCATGATTCTAATTTTTTCAGACAATTAATCAATATATCTTGTTATTGTTTTGTTTTCAAAAGATTCAAACTGTGAAAAATCAGTAGAAGTTTAAATTTAAGAGACAATATTTTGATCACGAAAAGTCATTTATTTTGTCAAATTTTTAAAGGATATAAAATTGTGTCATTTTAAGTGAGAGAAAGAGATAAATCATGGGAGGAGAGTGGACAAAAAAATGTGTGGGTCTCACCTCTTTGTGAGAGTGAAATAATACAAGTTATGTCATTTAAAAGGACAAATATTTTTTTCAATTATTATTTAGTAATGTTGTTATTATAGAACGGTCAAAAAGCTTAAATTCATTTATTAATTCTTACATGTTTTTATTAAATTCAAGAGTAAAAAGAAGAATTAAAATTAAAAACAAGAACTATAGGAAACGTTGGAGAGGAAAAAGGGAGTAGAGAGGCAATGAACTCTTATTCTTCTTATTTAATTAAAAAAAAAATTCTTTTAAGCTATCCCAAATTTTCTTTTAAGCTATCCCAAATTTGATGGAGAAATGAGGGAAACAATTCCCATTATTATTGAGTATTCCTCCTTAAAAATCTTTCAAATTATAGAATAAGTCACTTTTTTCTTTATTTTTAGAGTAAATATCATTTTTGGTCCTCATCAAATTTTACGATGTCCTCTTTAGTCCCTAGCAAATAAAAAGACCTATCGTGGTCCCTAAAAAATTCAAAATGGATCCATTTAGTTGAAATCGTAATCCCTCACAAATTTAAAAAATACCCATATTAGTCCCTAAAATAACTAAAATGGGTCCATTTTGAATTTCATATAGACCACGATGGACTTTTTATTTGCTAGGAACTAAAACGGGTATCATGAAATTTGCTGAGGATCAAAAATAGCATTTACTCTCATTTTTATTCCTTCCTCCCCCTTATTAATCTGAAGATAGCGTAAGTTACTTTCTTTTTTTCTTTTTCTTTTTCGTTTTTTTTCAGATTTTTGGCTTGGGTACGGAGGGCAGAGAGGGCTGCACCGCGCGTTAAGTTACTTTTGAGTTGTGTTTCTAAGCCTTTATCTTGTTGCTATTGGCCCAATTTATAGGCCCAACATCCACACCTTTAAAGTGGATCAAATATTTCTTTTTCAAATATGATTCCCTCTTGTATTCACCTCTATCAAGCAGATCAATAGCCTACACATAATACAGAAAATCTATTTATTCATACCAAAAACATTAATTATGTTAATTTTTACAGAGTTAGATAGCATCTCTTTATTTTGTTAATAATATATTGGAAAATATGATTTTTTTATTTTATTTTATTTCTTTGTACAAAAACAAACGAATCCTTACCTAATTGAAGAACTGGTGTGTCATGTTTGCCTTGTGACTGCATCCAACATCCCATGTCACTTCAATTTTCTTGTTGCCTTCATCTGATGTTTGCATTGCAGTAACAATGTCATCAACTTGTGTCATTGTAGTGAATTAGCTCATCATTTTCTCAGAATATCAATGTAACTTTCTAATAAGACATTTCATGTGGCTATGATTCTTGCACAAACGCCAATTCACTCTTACCACTTTGCATTTACCTCCCACATTCATTCACATGTGAAATCATTCCTACAAGCTTTAACAACCACTTGCTAACTTAATAACTTACTTAAAAGAACAGTTATATAAGGACATTGAAGAGTGAAAGATGAAGAATTTTAAGAAAATGGCTTATGGAGCCATTCACTGCTTCCTCTTAGCTAATCTTTTAGTGGGAAGATCATGTATATGTGCAAAGGTTCCTGCCATTGTTGTGTTTGGAGACTCTTCTGTGGATGCAGGGAACAACAACCACATTTCTACAATATTGAAGAGCAACTTTGAACCCTATGGTCGTGATTTTGATGGTGGCCAACCCACTGGACGTTTCTCCAATGGCAAGCTTCCAACGGATTTCATCTCTAAGGCTTTTGGGATCAAGCCCCTCATACCTGCTTATTTGGATCCAAAATGTAACATCACTGATTTTGCCACTGGAGTTTCCTTTGCTTCTGCAGGAACTGGTTATGATAATGCTACCTCAGACTTGCTAGTAAGTAAGAATATAATGCAATAATGCTTAATTTATTCTGCAACATATTCCATGGATCAATCTGTGATCTGTTTATTTGAATGAGTTTTTGGGAAAATTCAATTACTGCAAGGTAGTACCCTTTTTCTAAGTTTGCTACATTACCAAATTATTTCTTCTATATAATTATCTATGATTGAAATTTTACAAATGAATGGCCATATTAATGGTAAAATCGTCACTTGGATTAACTAGGTAAAAATATACCTGAAAATAGAAATTGTATCGGGAGAGTTGGCTCAAATGACAATATGAGTCCCAACACAGGATGAATTGCCGAAGAGCGTAAGTTCATATCTTGGAAAAAAAATCTTTGGGCCAGAGCTAAATAATTGTCACACCGCTCAATTTAGAATTAGTCTCATATCTATGTGGGCTCATTTTTCTGCCCGGATCATGGGATACCCAAAGGACCTAACTATGGGTAATTAGGGTCATTGAATCCAATAAAAATTGTCTTTTTTTTTTTGTTTGGGAAATATCAATCTTGCACCTAAATGTTTCATTAGACAAAGTAAATTTTTGGGTCATTGAATTGCTTTAAAGAAATGATGAAAAAATGTTGTTACAAATTTTATAGTTCAGGCAAACAATAAGACTGTATATTTATATCAAAACTGCTGTGTTGCTTTCAGTCTGTAATACCTCTATGGCAGGAACTAGAATATTACAAGGAATTTCAGAGGGACCTAAGGAGCTATCTTGGGCAAGACAGAGCAAACCAGGTTCTTAGTGAAGCGTTGTACTTAATCAGTGTAGGAACCAATGATTTACTAGAGAACTACCCTATGCTTCCAGAAAAGGCATCAGAATATTCAGTGAAAGATTACCAGCAATATCTTCTCGGAATTGCTAATAATTTCGTAACAGAGCTTTACCAGCTAGGTGCTAGAAAGATATCCATTGCAGGACTTCCTCCTATGGGGTGTCTGCCATTAGAGAGAACAACAAATATCATGTTTGGGAGTGATTGCTTGGAAGATTACAACAATTTAGCCAAAGATTTTAATGAAAACATTGGTTGCACATCTCAACTACAAGCTTGGTGGGATACGACTGGTGCTTTCAAATACATATGATATCCTATGGAATATCATTCAGAATCCAGAGTTTTTTGGTAAGCAAGCATTCTAGCTCATGTTAGTTACCAAAAAGCAAACGTTTTATAAACCTCAACTTGTTGCCCTATACATGTAGCAAAGATAATCACCAATCTGTATGTGTTTTCACTTGAAAACCAAAACAATAAAATAACTTGTATCACCTTTAATAGCATCTTTCTTAAACAATTTTTTTTTTAGAAAATACTTATTTTTTAGAAGTTATCTTAAAAAAAATTAATTGAAGATTTTTTACCTTAAAATAAGTTGTACTATATATATATATATATGCTTCCACAGTAATTTAGATGTAACTCTTCTGCACGCAAATTTTGATTTGCACTCAAGAACTGAAATTTACTTGATGCAGGATTTAACGATGTTACAACCGCATGCTGTGGAACAGGATTATTTGAGATAGGTTACATGTGTGATAAGATGAATATGTTTACGTGTTCGGATGCAAATGAATATGTATTTTGGGATGCCTTACATCCCACGGAAAAGACTAATGCCATTATTGCTAATGATTTGATCAAGAATTACTTAGCTGAGTTCTTATAATTACTAGACTATATTTTACAAAATGAGGGTTAAATACCATTCGTGCATTGTATTATAGTAAAGCTCTTAGTACAAGTTCACTTTCGGTATTCTGTGCTATTCCTTGATATTACTGATTTTTCAGCTCTAACTTCATCTTTTTCACAATGTCTAGCAGCCGTTTTGGTGTTCTTCAATGACAAAATAAAAGAGCAAACATTTCATCATGTGTCAAAAAGGCCAAAAGTAGAACCAAAAAATGAACTATTTGTGATTTAAGTTGCCTATTTAAAAATATAATTCCGTTCATACAAATATGCTCAGTTACTTGTCCTTCGAGAAAAAGAAACAGGTTTGAAATCTTTTCGCTAGTTCATGGACGGGGCTGAATTTCGTTCTTTTCTTTCTTGTCTTAGTAGTATAATTAAACGAAAATTTAAGTTCCCGTAAAAAAAATAAAAAAAAATAAGATGACGACAACTTAGAGACGTGCACGGATTGAACCGAATCGGATTTTTGAAAAATCGAACCGAATTGGTTTAAATGGTTCGGTTCGAAAGTGGTTCGGTTTGGTTTGGAACCGGTTCCGATCGACCCTCTTTTGGAAAGAAAAAAAATTAAAAAATAAAGTTATAAAAATTAATTTGGTTCGGTTTGGAAATAGTCCGATGCGGTTCGGAAACGGTTCAGTTATTAAACTGATTCTAAAAACCAGTTCGGTTCATAAACCGGTTCTAAAAACCGGTTCGGTTCATGAACTGGATTTTTAAAAACCAGTTCGGTTCATGAACTGATTTTTAAAAATCGATTATTTTATAGGACGGTTAGGTTCGGTTCATGGTTCGAGCCAATTTTTTGATTATTTTGCACCCACCGCTCGTAACTTTTGGACACTCTTTTCAACTACGATAGAAAATAGAAGTCAATGGACAATTGGGCATAACGATTATATCGTGGCTTTCATTAACACCAAAATTAATTATTCTTAAAAAAAGCCAACAACGACAATTTTTCTTCTTCAAAATGAACGTGCTGAGAACTTGAAGGTGCTGCAAGCACCAACAGTAAAACTTTCGTCGCATTTATTACCGGATCCTCTCTTATTAATGTAACCTGGATAATCCCATATGTAAAAAGGCACCTCCTCAACCAAGAACAACCCAACTTCCTCTGCCAGCTTCACGATTTCCCAGGAACAGAAAGGTTGGCCTTTCTTGTGTGTCACGTGAATTTCTCCACCGTATCTTAACATCTTCCTTGCACTATTAAAAAACCCTCGAACCACATACTGATGATACCTAAAAATGCAAGTATATTAGCCATACCATATGTTAACTTAAGCACCAACCACATAATAATAATAATGTACACATACAAATCACCATTTTTAATTTTAATTATTTTCTTGTAAACTTACCAAATTTGGAACGGATTACGCTCGGGAAAAAGAAAACCAGCATGAGGAAAATTGTAGACTATGCGGTCAAAAAACTCCAAATAAAGAAGATGGTGTGTATCCATTATATGAGCATCCACTTCATGCACAACGGTGCAACCAAGGTTCTCCAGTTCATTCAAATTTGTTGAAGCTCTGGAGTAGTTCCTTATTAACGACTCTAGTTAAACAATCATTATGTTAAACAGGTAAAAAAATGATTAGAATAAATCCACAAACACTGCACAAAAATGCAATGGTATCAAATTAAATTTACATAAATATAAAACGCAAGAATGAATCTTGAGACCGAGAAAGTTAAATTTTAAGTGGCAAGTAAGAATGGCATTAGTTAATATGTTTAACAGGAATATAGAAAATGTTTTTGGTTTGAGTAAATCTTCAGTATGTATTTATTTGCTAAAAGTAAAAATAAGTGGGACAATATAGTATTAACCATAGAGTTCATACACTATCGAATTAGTTAAAGGGATAGAATATTTTATCACCTTTTTTTTTCATGCCTACTTTAAATCAGAATCTCAACAAATATTTATCAATTCTTTCCCCTCCTAAAATTCTGATCTAAGTATAAAAAAAAATATAGATATAATATCATTTCCCTTGTTTAAATCATTTTTTTACTATTTCAAAAGAATGATGCACCATGTCTTTAATACTAAGTAATATTTTTTGTGAAGAACCAAAACCATGTTTGTGTACCTTTGGAATCAAGGGAGGTTGCTACCATGTTGGAAGCAGAGCCAAATGCATTTGCCAAACAAAGTGCGAAGGAGAAATCTCCCTCTCCCACAAGGAGTGTCTTATGATAGTTACTGTAGTGCTTTATCTTTTTCTCCATTGTAACATCCATTCTCCCACTCAATTGCAATTCAAAAGCACTATATGGTTGCAGAAGGCATCTCAAGCAGTGAATATGTACTCACGTTGGCTTCGGAATGTTCACTCTTTTTTTAAAAGGATGTTGGTTTCAAGGCTAATCATGAGATGTTATTTATTGTCATTGAATAGATTACTCACCCATTTCCTTGATAAATGTAATTGGAAGGTAAAAAGCTTCGAACCTGTATTTTATTTGGGAACCGAGGAGTCTCCAATTTCTTTTCTGGTGCAAGTATAGCTTGGTCTAAGATTGTGGAAAGGCAAAAGCATACTAAGAGTTTTTTGAGAAAATACTTATTTTTTATAAGTTATCTTAAAAAAAAGGTTTTATAATTCTCATTTCCTACACACTCTACGATTTCCATGCTGATATGGGTCCTACATATAATTTTTTCTAACACATGGGTCCCACATGTTTTTTATCTCTACTACATAAGATTTCAACTCTCATTTAACATAAGAATTATAAAACCCTAAAAAAAATTAATTGAAGATTTTTTACCTTAAAATAAGTTGTAATATATATATATATATATATATATATATATATATATATATATATATACACGTAGAGGTAGGATCCTTTGACACCGGTGTCAAATTTGAAGTTTGACACCTTATCTGATAGACGTTAGATCAAAAAAGATCAACGACTCTGATTTGCAAGCATGTGACAGCATTGATCTTTTTTGATCCAACGGCTCTCAGATGAGGTGTCAAAATTAAAATTTGACACCGGTGTCAAAAAATCCTACCTCATATATGTATATGTATCCACAGTAATGTTGATTAACTCTTCTGCACGCAAATTTTGATTTGCACTTACGAACTGAAATTTACAGGATGCAGGATTTAACGATGTTACAAGTTTACAACAGCATGTTGTGGAACTGGATTATTTGATCAGATAGGTTACATGTGTGATAAGATGAATATGTTGACATGTTCGGATGCAAATGAATATGTTGACATGTTCGGGTGCAAATGAATATGTATTTTGGGATGCCTTGCATCCCAAGGAGAAGACTAATGTCATTGTTGCTAATGATTTGATCAAGAACTATTTAGCTGAGTTCTTATAATTATTAAACTATATTTTACGAAGTGACTCTTAAATACCACTAATATATAGTTTATTAAATAATAAAGCTCTTAAATACCACTAAATTACTAATATACAGTTTATTATATAATAAAGCTCTTAATGGAAATTCACTTTCGGGATTCTGTGCTATTCCTTAATATTGATTTTTCAGCTCTAACTTCATCTTTTTCACAATGTGTCGAAAAGGGCAAAAGTAGAACCAAAAAACGAACATTTGTGATTCAAATTGCCTATTTATAGATATAATACCGTTCATACAATCTGAAAATAATATGCTCAGTTACTTGTCCTTCGAGAACCAGGAACAGGTTGAAAATCATTTCACAAGAGTTCATGCACGGGGTTGAATTTCGTTCTGTTCTTTGTTGTCTTGACCACGAAACATTTAAGTTCCGTCAAAAAAATAATATGGTCATAATTTAAAACTGTAGGACACTCTTTTCAACTATGATAGAAAATGGAAGTCAATGGACAATTGCATAACAATTATATCTTGGCTTTCAGTAACACCAAAATTAATTTTTCTTAAAAAAAAATCCAACAACAATTTTCTTCTTCAAATTGAACGTGCTGAGAATTTGAAGGTGCTGCAAGCACCAACAGGAAAACTTTGGTCGCATTTACTTCCAGATCCTCTCTTATTGATGTAACCTGGATAATCCCATATTTGAAACGGAACCTCCTCAACCAAGAACAACCCAGCTTCCTTTGCCAGCCTCACTATTTGAAACGGAACCTCCTCAACCAAGGGTAGGCTTTCTTGCTTGTCACATGAACTTCTCCACCGTGTCTTAATATCTTGCTTGCACTCTTAAAAAACCCTCGTACCAAATCCCGGTCAAGCCTAAAAGTGCAAGTATATTGGCCACACCACGTGTTAACTTAAGCACCAATCACATAATAATGTACACATATACAATTCAGTAATTTTAATTTTATTTATATAAAGGCCACATTAGTTGCACATACAACCAATGTGAGAATATATATCTCATTGAGCTTGAAGAGTGGACAATGCAACAGACCTACCTGTGCTAAGAAACGCCACAAAAGAAAATGGGGGGCGGCGAGGCTCTGATACCATGTAAAATAACGAGAGAGAAGAGAACGCAACCAGCCGCGGCCGGAGAGGAGGTCCCACGCGCCGCCTTGGTGGAGGAGAAGACTGGATCTTGCACACGCGCGTGAGAGGTCCGTTGAGGGTGTGGCCGATGCCGTTGAGTTCGTGCTTCCAAGACGAGCACGTCGGTATACGGTTCGCCGAAAAACTCCACCGGACGGGGGTGGTTGACGTTGACAGAAGCTTTAAACGCGGAAGAAAACGTACCGGAAACTGGACAGTGCGACAGTTCCGGAGAAAAAAAAAATTAAAAGACAATGAACAGTGGGTTCACCGAAAAAAAAAAAATTTCAAAGTTCCTTAGGCTCTTGATACCATGTAAAGAACCTTGGGATGCACCACCCCAAAAGCTAGCTCAAAGGGTGAGAGTGCCCAAGGCCTTATAAAGGTCACATTAGTTGCACATACAACCAATGTGAGACTATATATCTCAACACGCCCCCTCACGCAAGAGCCCATTGGACTTGAAGAGTGGACAATGCAACAGGCCCAGCCTACCTGTGCTAAGAAACGCCACAAGAGAAAGTTGGGGGCGGCGAGGCTCTGATACCATGTTAAATAACCAGAAAGAAGAGAGGAACATTTGAAATAAACTGTATGTATTGACTGATGAAGGTTGTACAATATATAAACAGACTAATAGGTTAAGTTCAAACCTAATGTAATCTGACCTAATACAAAATAAGAAAACCCTAATTACAAAATATTTCTAACAATTTAATTGTAAACTTACGAAATATGGTACGGAGTACAATCGGGATAATCAAAATCAGGATGAGGAAAATTGTAGACTATGCGATCAAAAAGCTCCAAATCAAGAAGCTGCAAATCTAGAAGCGGTTGATTATCCATTGTATCAACATCCACTGCATGCACAATGGTACAACCAAGGTTCTCCAGTTCATTCAAGTTTGTTGAAGCTCTGGAGTAGTTCCTTATTGATGACTCTAATTAAACATTCATCATGTTCAAAAGGAAAAAATGATTAGAGTAAATCCACAAACACTGCATTTTGTGCAGTGGGTTCTAACCAAATTAATCAACTAATTCATTGACATATACATAAAATGCACGCGTGGATTTTGAGACCGAGAAAGTTAAATTTTAAGTGTCTAGTAAGAATGGCATTGGTTAATATGTTTAAAAGGGGTACTGAAAATATTTTGGTTTGAGTAAATATTCGTTACTCCCTCCTTTACTGAAAGTAAAAAGAGTTGATAGACTAAATATAATTAGTTAAATAACCATCTAAGTACTCTAATAAGTGATGGAGCTAGTCTTCAATACTATACTATAGAAATTAAAATTTGTTGTGGAGAACCAAAGCCATGTTTGTGTACCTTTATGTATTTGCCAAAGGAAGTGCCAAGGAGAAATCTCCCTCTGCCACGAGCAGTATCTTATGGTAGCTACTGTAGTGCATTATCTTTTTCTCCATTGTGACATCCATCCTCCGACTCAATTGCGATTCAAAAGTATGATTGCAAAGGCATCTTCGGTACAGCTGGCAAAACGGGTTCGGCTCGGCGGCCAACCCATCCAACCTGCCAAACGAGGCGGGACGGATTGAGTTTTTCAACTCATCTCAAAACCGAGGCGGGACGGGCTCATTTTTTGGCGGGTTGATGGCGGGCATAGGCAGGCCGAGACGGATCAGTGTAAAATAGGTTCGGGCTGGCGGGCCAACCCGCCCAACCAGCCAAACGGGGCGGGCTGAGTTTTTTAGCCTACTTCCAAAAGCGGGGTAGGGCGGGCTGACTCATTTTTTGACGGGTGAATGGCGGGACGGGTCACCCACTTTGCCACCTCTACTTAGCAGTGAATATATACTGTGTTGGTTTATGGAATATTCACTTTTTTTATTTTAAAAGGACATTAGCTTCAAGACTAATTATGAGATATCATTATCATTGAATAGATTACTGATCACCCATTTTTTGATATATTTAATTGGAAGGTAAAAAGTTTTAAATGCCTGTATTATATTTGGGAATCAAAGAGGTACCAATTTTTCTTCTAATTCAAGTAGCTTGGCCTAAGATTGTGTAAAGGCAAAAAGCTTAGTTACTTGGAATTCTTAATGCCATAAGTTATTCCTAATGCCTGTTTGGATCCTCTTATTTTTAAGCTAAAAGTTATTTATAAGCATAAGTTAGGCCAAATAAGTTTTGAGAAAAGCTCTTATAATGAAAAGCTCTTTTTTTTATAATAAAAAAAAACTGAAAGTTAAAAGCTCCTATAAGGAGTTTTTTTTTTAGCTCTTATCTGTTTTTCTTAAATTCTGTGCTTTTTTTTAAAATTAAGAGCATGTTTGGATTCTCTTATTTGTAAGCTAGAAGCTACTTATAAGCTAAAGCTAAAAAAGAGAGCTTAAAAAAAGAAATTAAAAGCTGTTTGGAAATTACATAAAAATTTTAGCTTTAAAATTAGTTAAAAGCACATATTTCAAGAAAATTATTTCTCTCTCTATATTTATCACTCTTCAAATTAAAAAAAAGCACACAATTCAAGAAAAATATATAAGAGCTTAAAAAAAAAGCTCCTCCTAGGAGCTTTAATTTTCAACTTTTTTCTTCATTATAAAAAAAAGAGCTTTTCGTTATAAGAGCTTTTTTCAAAACCTGGTTGGCCTAGCTTATGCTTATAAGTAGCTTCTAGCTTAAAAATAAGAGGATCCAAACAGGCACTAAGAGTTACAAAGATAGAGAAGAGATAATTTTCTTGAAATATGTGCTTTTAAGTAACT